TAGTGAGAAGGAAAGTGGATGGGTAATAGGCCGTTCAAGTACAATTGCAGAGTTGAGGCAAATAAGGTTGAATGTAAACAATACAAGTTGAAAAGAAAAAATTTTGGGATTTATGTTCTTTAGTATTGTTACTAATCATTTACAGATTTAATTACTATTCGTTGAGCACAAGATTGTACTGATAGTTTGAATTCGGAGACTATTCTAAGAGCTCAGCGTGCATCGAGCAGTTGTCAGGACTTAGTATCGAGTAACCCTCCAGATTGTGGCTGCATGAAGTATGTCGTGAATACGAGGACGGTCTCACGTCGCCTTCTGCAGCTCAACATTTTCGTCAAGAACTTTTCGACCTCGTCAGACTTCATTTCAAAGACAATACAACTACTCTCTTTGACAAATTCGTGGACGAGACAGATTCAGTGAGTGTTTATTTGCAAGATTTGTCTATATTAGCGTTTATTTAGTTGCAGTGTGAGGTAAAAAACTCGTTCCATAATGGTATGTCCATTTTTCACTAATTTACTTATTTTCTGTTCTTTGTGATAATTATTCGCGAATTGAAAATCAGCAAATAAGTATTACTTTTCTCGGAACGCTAATATCTTTAGTCAATTTTTTTTTGCAATATAACAGTCGCATTGTTGAACAGCTTACGCCGGAATGCTTGAAGAAGCTCAACTGGACTCACACTTATCTGGGAGAAGATGAAGTTTCGAAAGACAACCAAGAAAACGCTGAATCCTTGAACGATTCAAGCATTTGCAGCGTATACAAGCTGAAACCTTACGACGAAATTATTGAAAATGAGAACATGAGGAAATTTTTCAAGAAGTGTTTGCGCGATTTCAAACAGCGGGAGAATGACGCCGTCAACTTGATACCCTGTACCCGCACTGTCCGACACCTGAGTCGGTTGGTTCGGGTGTTAAGGCGACCCGGTGGACATGCCCTTCTCATCGGTGACAGAGGCAGCGGCCGGCGACCTCTCACTCGATTGGCAGCCGCTGGGTCAAACACTAAATTTTGTTGTCCTCTGATCCTTAAAGGTGCCGATGGTGAGATGCATAATGCAACAAAAAATAACCGATCTTCTCACTCAATTTACAATAAAGTGAATGAAAACCAAATGAACAATTCAAATGTTCCTGACTTTGAAAATGACTTGCGTAGAGCTTTAAGGGAAGCAGTTCTTTCTTGCTGTATTTCAGACAAGCCAACAGTTTTCTATTTAGGCAGCGAAGTGCTAGAGAATCAAGAAGCGCTTCATATTCTGCAAACATTTGTCTCTGTTGGAACTCCATACGGAGTACTTCAACCTCGAGATGTTTGCTTGTTATTGCAGCATTGGCAGCTAAAGAACAGAGATTACGACGAGGACTTGAGTGATCTTTGGCTGAAAATTCAGCAAAGAATTAAAGATGACATTCATATCGTCCTAGCGACTTCGGTGACAGACGAAGGTACAGTAATAGATCTGTATGCACCACCACTAATAAGAATAACGAATGTTTTACCTAATAAGGGATGGTTTGATTCAAAATTTATTTCTTGCTATTTCTGTAGGTATGTTATATATCTTGTTGATTTCCAGTCATAATTTAGAGTCAAATGAAATAACCACAAAATTTTTAATGTTCAGAAGTTAGAAAAATTGTTCGATTGTTTCTTCTCATAGACAGTCGAGCACTGCTGGGGTACCCTTCCCTCTACAACTGCTTTACACGTCTCTACATCAGCGAGTGGAGCGAAGATGAGCTCTTAGAATTAGGAAGTCAAGCCGTGGTGGAAGAATTGCACTTTGAGGCTCAGCACAAGAGACAAATTCTAGAAGGCTTAGTCGCACTTCACATGAAAGCGAGAACCCTGAGCCAGGAAAGAAAGAAACGTGGTTTATTCAGCCCACCAGTTTCTCCTGGCAGTTTCGTCCAACTCCTGCATTTACAAGGGAGTCTGTACTCCATGCTTCATCAGCGACACTTTGGCGAACTTGACTTGTACGTTCAGGGGGTTGAAACACTGCGATTCTGCTCGGCACAAATATTGGAGAGAACCAAGATTAAAAACACTCTTGGACCAGAAATAACAAAAATCATTGCAGATGTACAACAAAAGTCCCAAATCCTAGCAGAAGCAAATGCTTTGGTAGACGTTGCGCGAGCAGAACTGCAAACGGAAGAGCAGGCCTCTCGTGTGCTCGAGCAGTCGGCTCAAGCAATTAAAGACGAATGCGACAATACGATGAACGTGGCCTTACGTGAACTTTACGACAGCATTGAAGCGGTCGGAGGTCTTAAACCGTCCGACGTTACAGCTGCAGGGGCTTCTAAAGCACCTCCTGCCCCTCTCAAGACAGCAATGGCAGCTCTTTGCGTCCTGATGGAGGTTAAAGCCCCCAAAGTAAAGCCAGCTGGAGGCAAGACGGTCTCCAAAGGAAATGAATTTTGGGCGATATCCAAGAAAATTCTTCTTGATCCAGGTTTTTTACAACAAGTGCAAGAATTGGACCCAGATTCTATATCTGAACTCGTGGTTGAACGAGTGCATAAAGAATATTTCCAGTCGTCAGATTTTGATCCTTCATACATGAGTAAACTGTCACCACTAGCCGAAGTTCTGTGCCGATGGGTGCGAGCCGTGGTTCATTATCGAGTTCTCTCAAAAGTGAGTATGAAAATGTATTAATTCTATATTTGTCCCTGATGCGTTTGGGATCTATTGAGGTTGGTAATTTTATTCTATCGCGATATCATTAACGAATCCTTATAACTTATCTGTGCTCACCATAAGTCTCAAAGTAATTATTATTTATCTCTATAATATATTCGTTATTACAAGTCTGCAATATGAAATGATACAACCGTGCCATGTTTCCGAGATGATATGAATCACATGATGAATTTATTCGCAGGAAATGGCGCCGAGACGCGAGGCTTTGCTCTCAGTGCAGGAGAAGATGCACGAAGCCCTAGCCAGAGTCACCGACTCCCAGCAACGTCTGGCCGAGAGCGAGCGCAACCACAGCGAACGCAGCGCAGAACTCGCCGCGGCTGTGCAGCGACGTGACGAGCTCAACGCGAAGTGGGAACTCGCCGACACATTGCTGGCCCGGGGCCGCGCGCTACTCGGTTCGTGATTTTTGCTGCGACTGTGAGATTATCGTAAGAATTCTTTATGCTTAATAATTTTTCTAAATGGAACAGAGGTTCAGGATAGACAAGAAATTGGGTTTGGCGTTTAGTCTCAAATAATCGATGCATTTTCTCCCTTCGAATATGAGTTTAATTTATGAATTAATTTCGCCCATTAGTCTTTTCCGGTCTCATTACCACATTAATCTAATGTAGTCTACTTCATAATGTAGACCTCTATGATAATACTTTTTCGGGGAAAAAGGAGATAACCCAAATATCTATGCAGCCGTCGTCCTATTAAACATAAACAAGTGATCAATTGCGTTTACAGCATCGCTTGAGAAGCACAAGGAGACCTGGGAGCTGAGAGCTGCTGAGGCTGCTACTGCAGTCAATGCCCTCACTGGTCGCAGCGTCATCGCGGCAGCAGCATTCCAGCATCTTGGCCACCTGCATCATGGCAATAGGTCCTGCATATGGTCCAAGCTATTTATATTTTAAATGGAAAAACTATTATTATTTTATTGACGTAAAAAAGTTTCCAAATTTAGAAATTACACAAAATGACAAGAGAATAATTTCAAATTTGAACAAATTTTACACTTCATATATCGTTTACATTATTCTGTGAATGAGTACCTCTCTTTGATATGGAAAATGTACACAAAATTGTTTAAGAAATACATTTTATTTGCATCAAAACATATGCAAACACAATTTTTATTTTTGCATTTGGACATCAGGTTAGAAATTCTGGAAGACTGGGCCGAAAGGCTGGCAGAGCTGGACCTAAGTCCTGGCACATCACCGTCTCTGTTGAGCATCGCCCGTCCAGAGGAGCGATCTGTGTGGCACCTGCACGGACTGCCTCAGGACCACGTCGCTGAGGAGTCTGCAGTCTGCATCTTGAAATCTTCAAAGTAAATAAGCGTTCTTCAAAATACATTTTAAAAAGCATTGTTTCCAAATACATTTTAGAACGAATATCTTGATAATGGTTAGTTGCAGATGAATTATCAGAGCAGTACTCGCGTACCGCTAGTTGTAGGTATACCGAAGCTTGAGCGCCACTATCGTAATTAAAAATAACTACGGTAACTTCCGTTGGCTTTGCAAACACTGCTAAATTACACGCCATATTTACAATTCATAGCAGTTTAAATAAAAAGTTTGCTGACTTGTAACTTCTCTAGGCCAGTTTTAGTTCTCGACCCTCTTGGGTTGGCCTGGCGATGGCTTCAGCGCTTGCATGACGACCGTGCGCTGGTGCTGGACGTTGAGGACATTGATCGGTGTGTGCAGCTCATAGATCATCCAATGAGAAATAATAAAAACAAAATCACGGGAAAAACAATGCCAAATCAACACGATGACGTATCAAAGCTTCAGTTAGCCCGGAAAATACCTCCCACTTCAGTCATTCAATATACAAAAATAGGAGACAAAAATTATTCAGAAGAGAAAACCAAGCGTGATCTCATCGAGGCATTAAAAGAAGGTAAAACCCTCCTGCTGCACATGAAGTCGATGAGGTGGTCGTGTGTTGATGCTTTACACGCTCTCATCAGCTGCTGCGCTGAAAGTTGCCGTGAGTGCAACTTAACGGAGTCAGAAACAATATCGTCGTAGCGGATCATGTCATGTACAAAACCTGAATCATAAATGTAATAATGATTCTATTCAACTTATAATTTGTGCGCGTTCTTACACAGTTCACTAAATTTTGCTTGATATAAAGTATTCATCTTTGTGACTAGGTCTGATTGACAATAAACGGCTTACCTGTGACCACAGACTCTGGAGAGGTTGTAGTCGAAGTGTTGGGAGAACGAGTCCGAGTTCATGCCGACGTGCGCGTGTTGCTGGTGTACCCTGCTAGCTCCTGCTCCCTGCCCTCCGCTCTATCATCTGCCCTGACCTGCGTTCTTTTCGACGTCGCTTCTCAGGGTTGGGATCAATTCTTCAGTCAAGTCCTCGTGTGGAGTGAAAGGTGGCGCAATGTTTCTAGCTATAACTTGGAGCAATGTTCAGTCAGTGCAAATAGGCGTCTGAGTGACTTCTTATCTATCAGTGACTGAGTTTCTTCTTATCTGAAAATAATGACTCTTTAATTTAAGAAACTAGTCTTTTAAAAATTGTAAGTATGAAAAAAAATAATTCTAAAACCATTCGATATCACGTTAATACAGTAAGTTTTTGAGAAATGGCATTATAAAATCTTTGCAAATCTTGAGCAGGCGAGACTTGGACGACTCGTGCGAGCGGGTGAGAGCTCGCGCAGTAGCGCTGCAAGCAGCCGAGGCCGAACAGCAACGCCTGCAACTCTCTGTCCTCCTGAAGCAGAAAGAGGATATTCTGCTAGATGAGGAGCAGTTACACATCATACTTAAAGCTCAGGTGACCACATCATGTTTCATCAGCACAGCTCAGGTGACCACATCATGTTTCATCAGCACAGCTCAGGTGACCACATCATGTTTCATCAGCACAGCTCAGGTGACCCCATCATGTTTCATCAGCACAGCTCAGGTGACTACATCATGTGGCAGCAAAACAGAAAACATAATTTAAAATACCTTTCTAAATTCTTCAGCTGGAATCAGCAAATTTAATTTAAGTTTAAAATATTGCCTTTAATTTTGTCAGGAGCAACGGGAAATTTTATCAGGCAAGTTGGACGTGTGTCGAAGAGAAGCGCTGGACGTGGCACGTCAGTGCTCGGTGTACGACGTCGTGTCTGCAGCGTCACGACGCGTCTACTCAGTGCTCATGTCTATGGCTGAATTTCGTTCAGTCAAACAGGATTTTTTGAACGTTCACCCATTGAGCCTTACGGACTTTAGCACCACGATGCTCAGCGATATTCTACTGAGGTCGGTTGCGGATTAATTCTCGATAACTCGTTAGTTGTCATTCATTACCTCAAAATTCGGATTGATTTCTTTAGGCTTATGTATTTTACATTACTGTAAGGATTACTATACTCTGCAAAAAACTCAGTTTTTCGGGTCTGATACGAGCAAAAGAGATCTTGTATAGAGGAGAGTGAAAATTTTTTATTCATAAGAGTTCAGAACACGTTAATAAAATGCTGATATAAATTCATGTTATGGAATCAATCACATACGATAACGTAGTTAATAATAATGTTAATATACGCGTGAAGTCACCTGGAGATGATGTAATAAATTTAGAGATAGTGGTACTTAATATAACATACTAGGATAATAAGTAACAAGTATATTATTTTAATAATGCGTGTATTTGCAACATGGGACAGCGCCAGTGGCAACGGGCCGTCCCGTGCGGAGAATATGGCGGCGCGGGCGCTGGAGTCGGCCGCGCTGCGTTGCTACAGGAGCGCGCCTCGCGATCTCGCCGCGGCTGCTGCTGCCACCATAGCTCTCCTCCATCTCAGGTCTGGCGCTCAGCATGTACATTGTGAGGGTCTGCGTGATGGTTATACAGGTGGTAACAACTACGTGCGTGAGCGTGATTATACAGGTGATAACAACTACGTGCGTGATTATACAGGTGATAACAACTACGTGCGTGATTATACAGGTGATGACAACTACGTGCGTGATTATACAGGTGATAACAACTACGTGCGTGATTATACAGGTGATGACACCTACGTGCGTGATTATACAACTGATAACAACTGCTTGCGTGATTATACAGGCGATAACAACTACTTGCGTGGTTACACAAGTGAAAACAACTCCGTACATGATTTTACAAGTATTAGCAACTGGTATTTATCGGGTACATAATTATACATATAGTTGAAAGTTTCTTTTATTTATTTGATAGTCCAGGATTAAAAAAAATGGGGACAATTTGACACAAATGACCCGGTTCAGAGTTTCTTCTTGAACTACACAACTCTATCAAACACTATTCTATTTTTAGTCTGGAAGGAAAATTACAGACATGCATTTTCAACTCTAATATGCGTTGCACGAATCTATTAAATCACAATGCACAGATGCTCTGCAATCAATTATATATTATTAGCTAGCCACTTTCTTATTTTACAGATTAATAAGGAAGTTAGATAATGTTGATGCGCGGTTTCTACTGCTGTTGTGCGAGCAGCAGGTACCGGTTAGACCTCCAGAAAATCCTGGTTCAAGCTCCGAGACCCAAGATAGTTCTTCAAAGAAGAGCATCAATGATTCTAAAAAGCCTCAAAATATGTGTGAAGAAAATGAATATTTGGCGCGAACAAGGAGCGAGACGCCAGACGCAACTGATGGAGGAATTACGAAAGGAGAGACAGTAGGTTCATCCAAAATCTATTTTCAAATGAACGAGGAAGCAACATCCAGAATAAGATTGCTTGAAAATCATCCATCGTTTGCGCGTGAGCATCTAGTTTCGTTAATAGTTGCTGCAAATATCAAACATTCCTCATGATATAAATAAAATTCATCAGCTGAAAATTCATCATTGTTCAAATTCATCATTGTGAAATACAATGTTATAGGTAAATTCAAATTAAATACGATAAACTATGAAGATGGGATACTAGTTTCTTTCCATATTTGTTATTCAGTCCTAGGTTTTCGGGTTTTTGAAGTATCTTATCTAGTAATCATCGTCAATATTATTCAAACGTTTTCCTCCACAGTCTTACAGCAGAGCCTGAGCAACGAACGTTCGCAATGGCAGTCTGCCATGTCTGTTGCCACAGGCGCAAATGGCAAGACAGAAACTCACACTGAGGATTCATCGAATTGGGAGACCACGCCACGCCCAGAAGCATGGCGTCTGGGTCACAGTCACGCTAGTATGCAGCTAGAAGGTATCACAAGTAGATCTCTAGTATTAGTGTATTCTCACTAATGCCAACAGGGGTTGGACAAAATAACGAAAACGCTTGACATTTTGATATCTTAATTTTGGAACATGTTATAAACTATTAAAACGTGACAAATTTTTGTTTTATTGTTTATTGCTGTTGTCCATCGATATTTTTTCCTTGTACAGATATTTTTATGTCTATAAGTAAGACTATAACCTATAAATGCAAACTTCTCTGACTTTCAAGGGGCCAAATTTTTGGTGCCCATATGGCAAGTGCTAGTGTGACAGATAATGATAATGTCCCGATCCATACAGCTATAATTATTAAAAAAAACTGCACGAACGACATTCTAATGAAATTGAGCATCTCATTTGGCCACCACAATCTCCAGATCTGAATATTATTGAGCATTTATTGACAATTTTAGAAATGCAAGACAGACGTCGATTCCTGCCGCCATCATCTTTAAAAGAGCGAGAGAGAGTTTCAACAGAAGAATGGGTTAAAATTTCTTTTGAAACCTTCCACAATTTGGTTGAATAAATACCTCGAAGAATTGAGGCTGTAATTTCCGCTAAAGCTGAAGCTACACCATGCTGAAATGTATTTTGCGGATTACTCAGGTGTTTCACTTATTAAGTTTAACCCCTTCATCTGCATACAATTAATCGTATGACTTGCCTATAATTTGTTCTTTTATGTTCGAGGAACATTGTAGCTAGTTTTATTCCATGAAACTGAAATATATTAGATGTTTTGATATTTACTTTATTTTTGCTGTGACGATGGAAGATATCAACTGACAATTTAATTCGTCCACCTTGTAATAATTTAGTGCTCGGCTAATTGATGCTGGAATCGTGAAGAAGTAGTGAATTACATGAACCTGTTGCATAGAGTTAATGCCACTTCAGTCGAGCTAACCTTCATTAATCATTTTACTAAACATTACAGAAATTCAAGAAGATGAATTATCTGAGCGTATAGCAACGCTGATGCCCATTTGGTACCGCTTTAATCAAATGAAAAGAACAATAAATATCAGGACGTCTGAGCTGCCTCGTCCCTGGAGCCAGCTTCAGCCTATCAAAAAATTCTTGCTGGTGTTGGCCATCAACCCAGCACAGGTGAGCGCTGGGTGCCAAGACGAGAGGTTTGTATTTTTTTTTCAGTCCAATAAATCATAGTTATCAGGACGAGTCAAAATACGCAGAACTAATCAAGCAATTTCTCGTTGGAAAAAAGTGATATCTACATGCTAGCAAACATTTTAAATTGAATATTATGTTTGAGTCTTCAATGGAAAAGACTTGTTTTAAAACCAAAGTCATTACTTCGTTTCTGCTTTACAGTGCTACGACGCTCTGCAAGACTTCGTCCATCACACGTACCCTACTGCTGCTCGTGACAGTTTCAGTACAATTTGTTTTGCACAAGAATACTTCAAACTTCCCAAAGTTCTTCACAGCAAGCAGAAGCTCTCACTTCCCAAGCGCCCTCTCTTGCTCTTGACAGAGTTCAAAAACACTATCTGCACTCCAGACGTTATATGGCAACCATTTGGACGCGATATCACCGTGTTGTCTCTCCCGCTTCTTAAGCAGGTAACTGGTAAATCATGAATAAATTACAGATCACTTAAATCTTGCGTTGCTTGAAGATGAAAATTCATCCTTGTGTATGAGCAACATAACACAACCGCCTTGATGTCCGTACGTTCGACGATAGTACGGAGCACTGCCTTTGATTACTTCATCGATTTGGTTCGTGCCTTAATTTGGCTGAAGTGTAACGCTTTCGTTGTTGCAGAACGGCCAGCTTAAAGCAACTCTAACTAGATGCATGCAAAGGGGGAAGTTCCTCGCGCTGCAGGATGTTCATCGCTGTTCCCTTGAAGAACAGAAAAAGCTGTACCATCTACTGTACCGCTTCTATGACACTTTCCGCGCCGGAAGTCACTTCGAGCAGTAAGGCTTTGGATATACTCTTGATATCTATTCACAAACGCGACACTTACTGACCGTGCTCAATAATAATAAACCGTGATCAATAATTGCGTTATATTGCACAATGCTCATACACGACTCGGTTAAAAATTCATCAGTCCTCATAAATTTAATGTAATGAGTTGTATAAAATTGAGTTGAAAAAACTTAGATGTGGAAAAAAAATAAAAATATAAATCATAGTGTCGCCCATAGAATAAGATAGTTCAACTTGGTTTCTACAAAATATTCCATTTTTTCTGAAACCTTACCTTCAATCAGATACTGGCTAGACTGCCAGTAACTCCTGATTTGAATCCACAACTTAATATGCACGTAAATGACGTAATACGTATTGATGTGTCAGGTACGGAGAGTTGACGAACGACGCGCCGTTCAGGTTCAGAGTCGCACTCGTCGCTGACGCTCGTGCAGAGGTATGTGCCACTAGATAACACAATGTAACACAATTTTTGTTCCTGGCAAGTAAGTGTTATTTTCCAACTCATTTTGTTACAAAACAATAGAAAATGGCCATTATTCCTTTTAAACTTTTATAATTATTGACGTGACCGCAAATATTATTTAAATATCTTATCAGATCTCAAAATTATTTAAAAATCCCGTAGCATAGGGTTCACCCTCAATTCGTTTTAAATGGACGACTAATAGTTTCGGACATGAAACTTTCAAGTGAAATACTTGTAACGACTTGGAATGTTTCATATCTTGATAACATTTGGTTAATGGCGCCTTGCACGCCTTATTCCAACTAAAGGCGACTTCATTTGTGATGTAAGTTTGCTCATTAATATCGTTCCTTGCGTTAGATCTGTGCGCCTCTGCACGCGTTCTGCTCAGTGCTGTGGCTGCAGGACGCAGCGTCGCTGCGAGAAGCGCTGCCGCCCGCTGTCTCTGCAGCTGCACATGCCATCCAGCGCTGGCCACAGTCTGCCTTGGTGACTTGGCCATTCCCAGAAAATGTCCTCAGAATATTATTAGTAACAATTTATGCAAAATTCCTGAAACTATAGTTGCCTATGGCATCTATGAGAACGGCTTAAAGATACTACTTAGGCCAGCCAATGTTAGTAGCCATACCAAACGACATGTCTATACTATATACGCAAGACGATAAATGAAAACAATATACTCAGTGAAAGTGGCGCAATAGAAATAAATTAAAAATTCTCATCTCTCAGGAAGTTCATAATTTAGTGTGTAAAATTAAACGAGAAATGTTAAAAATTAGTTTTAACGAATTCATGAGCCGGCCTGATAACTAGCCATATTTTGGCTTATAGAGAACATCGATAACTTAGGATCAACGCATAAAATGCCGATGTTTTACATGAAACTGTGCGCAATTAACTATAACTTAATTAACATACTAACGAAGAAGTTAGGTTGAAGCTCCAATGCCATTATTTCAGCAACCCTACCCTCTCCCACGCAGGCGGTTGCCGGAGACGAGATGGTGCTGAACGGAATGCTGGTGGTGGTGTCGTTGTTTCACGCTGTGCTGTGGCTCTGGAAAAGTTTCGGTCCGTGGGAAGGAATCAAACCGGAGCTGAGAATCACAGACATACAATTGGTGCTCAAAGTTCTAAAGGTGAGCGGATCGGCATTCAAGAGTCAACGAAATCATCGTGTTGGTGCATCTTGAAAATATGTGATTTCATGTACAAAGTTATTCATTGAAAGCTTTGCGAGAATTCTATGCTGTACGCCTGATGTAGCCTTTTTACTGGTAATTTTTTTACAATTTGGAGCTAAAAATATAATTGTATTACACATTTTCAGACGCCGAACTCGATAAATCGACTTCTACTTGTGAGTGAGCTACAAGAGAAGTTCTTCGAAGTGTACCTAGCAAAGCTCGCAGATGAACGCGATCAACGATTGCTGCGGATTTTATCTACTGAACTCCTGAAGGAAATAATGCTTTTAAAACACTCCAAGGATGGTCAGATGCATGAGAAAGAAAACGATAGCAGACTCGCATATTTGCCAGTTGGCTGCAATTACAAGGAATTTATCTCTAAGGTGATCCACACTTTTAGAACTCTGAGATGCAATGTATTCGAATCCATCGACGAGCTAAAAGAAATACGGTTAGCCGAGTGAAGACATCGAATACGCGAACGTAAAATTAAGCGACTTTGAATAATGTGCAGAGCAATTTGTATCCAGAAGTCTCGAAGAGCATAATACAGAGGCAGTAAAGATCAGCATGCTTAGACACCCGAGGTAATTTTCATGCTATGTTATAGACGCTGAGGTTGCAATAGTATTTAAACAGACATGCAAGACACAGAGTTGACAGTTTTAATGTCACTAGAACAAGAGCTCTTCATGGAGCTGTAGCAATACGTTGTAAACTAACCAAGAATCTGTAGGCAACCGGAAAGTCTTTGGAACGTGGTACTCACTGTAGGACTACGTTGCCCTGATGGTCCCTAAAAGAACGATTGTGTAGCCGTTCTCTAATCTTGTGGTTTAGCACTATGCATTTCCTCATAGGATTAATGAAACAAGCAGAAATCTTGTAACAATCATTTTATTGTTCTAGCAAATTAATCGCTGCGAATCATACAAGAAGAGTACTCGCTAATTCTAACCAAACGGATCTTTCAGACAAGCAGAACTCCTATAATGCTTAATTTATGCTTTGACACGCACAATAAATGTAGTTCATTTCCCACCTTGTTTTACAAAACCTTGGTCAACGCACGTTCACTAGAGAAACTGACTACATAGCAAACCTCACTCGCAGAAAATGTAAGGAATAAATTTATATGTAAATAATCGTTATTTACCAATGACAACATTAACGAAACCATTTTACTCTCAAGCAAACATCCGAAAAATTCGACGGAAAGCGTTGTAACCTGGAAAAATGGCGATAAATTCCACTGACAACGGCATTTAAAGCGATAACCACAACAGAGAAAAAAACACGAAAATTAATACGGAAGAATAAAATAAGTCAGAACAGGGTAGCCAATCAACCCTTACACCGAACTAGTGAAACATCAGGTAAACCCTGTAAGTAATCTTCTTACTAATCGTTGCGATAAAATAGATCGGCGACGGTAAACCCGAATAGTGACAGCGTAGCAAATATTCGATACTATACCTCATATTCAAACATTAGGTTCGAATGAAAATACAATAAAAAATAACGGAAAAATTATTGTTAAATAAAGCAAAATGGCATATACAGGAAATTGCCAAAACTAAATTTTCATTGTAGACAAAAATTCATTCATTAAGGCCAAATTGAGCCAGATCGCCAATCTGGCTTAGTTGCCACCAGACGTGGAATCAGGGCTCTGAGCGCGTTTAATTTTCAAAGATTTCAGCGTTTTCTTTTGTTTTATCTGTAAATTGTTGGAGTGAGGAGAATCAGTTTTATTACACATATAATTGGCTACTGAAGAACTTTTAGAACGATGGATCGAGTCTTTGACACGTGGAATCCTGGCAGCGATAGCTACCGACTCCTTTAGCAATTCGAGAGGCACGTTGAACTCGCTGATTGGTAGATCACGCATCTGGCCTGTTAAGCTAAGGCTTGAAGATTTCATTGTCGATTCGATTTTCAGGTCCAATACAGAGCTTGAGAAGACTTCACCCAAGGAATTTTTACCATCGGCTACGCCACGAGATTCGTAAGAAATGCCGTCGGACGGTGATGACAAATCACTTCTATTACACTGTGCATAGTTCTCTAACTTCTCTTCTTTTTTCTCTGGCATTTTACCCTTTGTTTGACAATTTTTGATTGGATCCAAATCTAGGATTTGACTCTCGTCCAAAAGCTTTTCGAGATCGTCTAGAGACTCTTCCAGATTTGCACTGATATCAAGAAATGAAGATCCAAGATCGTCGTCATCGGCACATTTGTCACTATTTTCATCATCTCCAATAGCAAATGCCTCTTCTTTCATTTTAGGAATTCCGAATGATTTTTCAACAACAGTTCTTTCCGAAAAATGTGTACCTTCGTCGCTTGTGCTCGCGGCTAACAGTTCCGCTTCGACTGGAATTTTTGTTCGATTTTTCTTCATGTCCGAAAGCATTATTTTCATTTTAAATACATCGAAAACGTTGTGCTTATGAACATCTGATGCAAACATGTGACAGCGCGTCATATGCCTGGAGAATCGTTCTTGGGACCGACTGCTGAAAGGACAAAACATGCACTCCATTACAACGTTGATAGACTTGCGGTGATCGCGTTGTTGATGAGCTATCACCTGTGATTCTTCGGGAAACGTGCTCAAACATGTGGCGCATAAATAGCGGTTATCTAAATCAAGATGATTGTCGATGTGGGCTTTGCGGCATTCAGAGTCAACGATGAACATGTGACAAATTGGGCAGAAAACATCCTCGTTCTTATGTTCATTAAAATGTGATAGGAGGCTGCGCTGAGAACTACACTGTTTTTGACAAAATTCACAAGTTAGCTTTCGAGCTCTCATCTCCCTATACTCAGGAGTGCTGTATAATCTTCTATTCATGACAGAATATGTTGTCCTCTTTTTGGTTGAAACAGAGCTAGACAACTGCTTTTGTTCACTTGTTAATTCAGATTCATTAGGATCCGATTCAGATTTATTTGGAAAACACTCCAATTTAGAACTTGTCTTGTCAAGAACTATACCCGAGTCGTTGCTGGAAAGCTTACCTTGGTCTATCCCCCCTTCGCCCATAAGAGTAGTAAGGGGTCCCTCCTCAGTTTCAATGACATCTTCATTCGGGGCTTCGTTTGGCGCAATATCTTTCAGCTCAACTGAGCTACCCTCATCCACTTGAATCAAGTTCGATCTAATGCAATTAACATACATTGAAACATCTGCGCCAAAATCTTCCGTATGTTTGCCAATGATATGGTTGGCCATGGAAGGCTTGTCCACAGTACGGAAGCTGCAAACAGGGCAAGTGAATGGACGCTCCTTGGTATGAACTCTCTTGACATGTCTCTGGAGGCCACCTTTCACCTTGCAGGCGTAGTTGCATAGAGTACATTTGTAGGATTTACCATTCATCATTTGTCTATGTTGACGTTTATGGGCAAAATGCTTAACGATATTCGTCGTTTCAAAGTCGCACAACGAACACTCGTACTTGACTGTTGGTTTCGCCGACTTCTTCTCACTTGAAGTTTTGGTTTTCTTGCATTGCGCTTTTCGGGATTTTGGCCCATTCTTACTAGCTATACATGACGACGTGGTCTGCACTTCAATCCCTTCAACGATCGGGATAGATGGAGCAATAGTCTCGCGCTCTTCGGTTTCGTGACCCATTCCGCTCCCGTCTTCTGAATCAGACATTCTGATAGCAGGGAACTTCGCACAGTCGAGTCTGAAAAACAATGAATCATGGTGAGCTCACAAGAGATGTAACGCTAATTGAAAGGAAAGGATGTTGGCATAACCATAATTCGTTTATTAAAGATCTGGCTACGCGAAAATTTATCACTAACTTGCACATCGGGAGTTAATCCAAAAATCATAAGGACTTGATAGCCGATAGGTAGTAGGCTAATACAATTACCAGCCGGTTGCTAACGTCTTAGTCTGACTATGATCACTTTTTCAATTGAACAAAAAGTCGACTTATTACAATTTTGGAGCATCTGTGATGAAAATAGCGCATCCTGGAATTTTTATTATTGTAGCTATATTTGAAAATTATTCACTGATTTTTATCATTACTGTAAGACGCAGGGCGATTATCTCGATCGGACTGGCTGGTAAAGATGTGTCGACTGTCGACAAATAATTAAATACTAGTATGTCTACACAGTACACATCTGAGTCTGAAAATAGAGTAAACTAATGCTGGCTACGATTTGATATATCAAACATTAACTACGTAGTAGCTACGTAGTGCATATCAACCAACAACGCAACAAGTCACAAGGGTATTATTGCAGATTAACTACATCCAAAAAAAAGGGTGTTTTTTTTTTTAATTATATGTTTTTTGGGGTGTAGATTACGAATCTGAAATCCATTTTTGGCGGTCGGCATCGGAAAACCGATTTTTACGTGTGATCTCTCGATGTGGCAATGTATCTCGGAAAAAAATCGGTTTTCCGATGCCGACCGCCAAAAATGGATTTCAGATTCGTAATCTACACCCCAAAAAACATATAATTCAAAAAAAAAACACCCTTTTTTTTGGATGTAGTTAATCTGCAATAATACCAGTCACAAGTGCACATGCTGACTGCAAAACAGAGTAACAGCAAGATATAGTTCTACACATAGGGCTAACCGTTTGTAACATTTTACATACCAATACTTGCCACGTCACAGACGAGTCAACGTCGAGACTGAAACAAGTGGGCCTTGAGGTTGACGAGCCCGCTGAGGATTCGACGAACGAATCCGTATCATTCGTCCGTCACACTTGTTTAAAAAGCTCTCAAAATAATCTTCCTTTCCTTAATTCATTTCAGTTGCGTCATCTTCAATTTAACCACATCGACAGCACATGGACAGCAGCTACGTCAAATAATTTCCCACATAACGGAACATACTGCTAGCAGGATTAGCAGACTAAGTATATAACACCACCAAGTACCAAAATTGTAGATCTTGCCATCACAATCTTTTCAGTTGTAAGTGTTGCCACCTGAATAATTGACCTTGATTGACGTCTGAAAATTATTTGAATACAATTTCAGAACAACGTTGCTCAATTGCAATTTTTATGAACCAAGAAATAAAAGAAAGTTAATTGAAGGGATTTTTCAGGGAATTAACTAATATTCAAACACTATGACGCTTTTGAGACGAATTTTCATAGCAAGTTTTCAACGAACAACTTTTTCAGAAGCTTCTAGACGCTCAATGTTGAGAAATAGTGTGGTTTACGCAAAAATTACAAACGCTGATAGGCATATTGACGGCTTATGCAATATATTGCGTGATTGTCGAAATGTAGAAAAGAACATTGCGCTAACTGTGTCCTTATCACGGCCGGCTGAATTGGAAGGTGAGCCTATCCATGGTGTATTAATTCAACCATGAGCCTATCGTTGTCTCCAAGCTATATGGGGTGATAGATGAAAAGTTTATAGCGAAATTACATTTGTTATCATTTTTAAAATTAGTTAGTCTCCCGAAATTTCTTTTTTTTTCCTTAGTCTCCCGAAATTAATTTCTCGGTGAACTAGAAAATTTTGCGTCCAATGCATTTTCGTAGCAAGAACGCCGCTAGTAGTTTTTCTTGCGATTCAGAATAGATTTTCACGATGGTAAAAGATGTAAAGATAATGGCAAAATTGCTATCAAAGAGGTGAAAATGGTTAAATTTCGGGGTTGTTGAGAAGACTGAAGTGAATAATGGACATTATTAGTGTGAATAGGTTCTGTATCCTTTACAACTGACTACGTAGTTATTTCATCCAGATCTGATACAAGCATATTAAGCAGAAAATTTAATTCGTAGCAAACTAAGGTCGGTTTATCATGTTTGAACTAAAATGGTTCAACCATGGGTTAGATTTTTTTAGCAAATACAAGATACAACAGTTTGAATAATAATTCCAAACAGGGAGCAGTACGAGGTACTGATTAAAAATTGTCCCCATTCATTTACTATTTAGTAACTCTTCGAGAATAAACTTCTCCCTGGTAACAACCCAATGCTTGGACGATTAATCCTTTTCTGCGAGCCTTTTCTTTTTATATTCTTTGACTTTTGGACACATATATATGACACAACATGATCAAGTTTCGCTCTAAATATTGACTTCTTGATATTCTGTCAGACTAGTAAGAGGATGTTGGCGCAATATCGTTGTACGTCTGGTGACATAATAGCGGAACCTCTCCATGCGGCTCCTGGCGCTCAATATTATTGCTTAAATCAAAATATTCCGCAATAATATTGAGAGACCAGGGGCTGCCTTTAAGATATTGCACAAATCATATTGCGCAATAACTTGAAGCGTCTAGGGGCTACTTTAAAACCGATATTGACTTTAATTGATAAGAAGCGATTTATTTACAATATGCACCTGCGAGCGTTGTTAGAATTTTTTTTGTGTCCTCTTTGAATTTTGATTAATGCGCTAAACACCAAGTTTCGGTGTGTATTCGTTTTTACGCATAAGATTTTAAACCGAAAACGATCTTAATGTAATTAAATCGAGGTTGCTTATTAAGTTATTCGTAATACACTCCAGTGTGTGTTGTTACATTTTTATTCGTCCACTTCGTTCCACATAGTGCGCTAATCAGCTTCAAGGGTCTGAATGTGAGTGAGAATAACTAGAGACGATTAATATGACGATTAAGTAAACAGCCTCCCTATCGGTCTCCCCTGCAGTGCTCCCAAGCAATGCCTCAGTGGGACTCCCCCTCATCCAAACCCCACTCATCCACCACCGCCAGACCGTCGCTTCAATGAAACTTCGAAGTCGAAGGTCCACAAGCAAGACAGCCAAAGCTTTACAGAGTAGATCACAAGCGCACTTCTTTCTTTCCTCGATATGAAGAAAATAATGCGCCCTCTGCAGGTGATGTAGGAAATTATTCTAGAAACCCACTCAGTAAAATCGTTGTTTCCATTACTTCCTTCTTTCTACTTTCCTCAGCAACAAAGCTGCCAGCGTGAAGGCACACCTATGCTTGTTCTGGCCTCAGATTGCCTATTGGACGATAGGCAATGACGTCCATATGACGTATGAGGGTCTGGAATTTTTTTGCTCTAAAATCCCTGCCTAGAAATTTAATTAATAGGTCAGTAGGAGCAGTGGTTGCTTTTAAAACCACTAAAGATCAATTTCACAAAAAATCACTTGAGTGTAATTTCACAGATCATGAGCACTTGCTCTTAAAACCACTAGAGTTTAATTTCACAGATCATAAGCACTGGTGTCAGTATGGAACGGCCTTCCGGACAGCGTCGTAACTGCCCCCTCTGTGAGCGCTTTCAAGAGCAGGCTTGACAATTACTGGGCGGACCGACCGGGCCTTTTCGATCCTGAGAGCTACCATTAGCCTTTCAGTTTGCAGTCACCTGGGGTGCACCATCTGCGCGTGTAACCTAATGGGGGGCGGCTATGCTGAGGGCGAACAAGGCGGGTGAACAGGCTTGAGTGCCTACTACACCGACAATTCAATTCAAGTAAAAATTAGATTTATTAAAACTAAATCTTTGTTGTGTACAATACAAATAATAAAGCAAGTAAAAAAGCTATCATTCTATGCGACCTCAATAAGTAAAATCACTAGAATTATTCTCAAATTTGTACCAACTAGGTACATTTGTTCTCAATTAATACGAGACAACATGTTTGGGCATTTAATGATTTAGCACGAGACCTTTACAAGCGGACGTTTGTAATCAACACTCTTCTTTCAGCGGACAGACCCTCGGAAGCTACATAAATGGGCAAGACGATATTTGAAGAGTTGAGAAATAAATTTTAAATTCAAACAGTTATACTGGGTAAAAGGGAAAGATCCAATTCGATTTACATCACAAGTTAGCTTTTATTGATGTGTTCTCTTTGTTATCCGTAATTCTTTTGTCTGCTTATGTATAAAAGCGAACTTGACGTACAAAAAATTGCAGAACTCTTGGCGAGCCGACGGCGACGGCTTGACCCTTTTGCCTCTGGAATCTGGATGCTTAGTTATTAGGTAGTTCCTTCCACGCCACGGCTCTGGACTCGGACTGTGAGGGCAGAGATTTTACATAACGACGCTAGTTGACGGTCATAGGCTCATGGCACAATGAAATTTACTCGTGGCGGAATTTTGGTAATGCCAATGTTAGATAGAATTTTTATAGACTAATTGTATTCAATATTAGCACTTCAGCTGGGTCCTTGCTTAATGCCTTAATCCAGACCAGCAATATCTAAATACTCATGGTACGGTACCTACCTGGTGCTGGTGACACTGTGAGACTAGACTGGTAGTCTGGTAGTAGGACCAGTGGTGACTTGGTCAACTCAAATATGTCTGTCATTATCATTTATGTCATGTTGCTAATTCTTGTTAGATGTAGGTCCTAGGTATCAAAATACTTACAGTTGCAGTGTAGGCCTATTCTATAACCTATTTGACCCTGCCACTGGCACTGGCATGTCTGCACTCTGCAACAATTGTGGCCTGTGGGTATGTAAGTCAGGTTGTCAACTTGTCAAGTCAAGAGCTGATGAGCAGTGAGCACTCTGCAGGCTGCAGGCATGGAATTAGAATTGGGTAAATGCGGTATATTCCGACCCATCAAGGATGTAGCAAAAAATGAATCATATTGAATGGCTATAAAAAAATCACAGTACGCGCAACTCGAGTTCTGTTTGCTTTATGTCACTCTCAAAACACTGCACTAGGTACGCGCCACAGCGCCAGCAACAATGAAACATCACAATTTCACAAAATGTTGCCATATTTATTTAAAAGCCTTTAGAATGCATTAATGCAAACCTACCAAATCCATATATTCTAATGCTGTGTGTGACTAAATTTGGCATTTTGTGAGACTAATTCCGGCTGCGCTTCAAACTCTACTAATTTGTAATTCCAACACTTGTGTTCAAATTCCGATCGCTGTGTGAGCTGTACGTATTGGAATATGACACAGCTTGGAATTAGAACACTATTGAATATTGAACACTACTTATTGAGGCTTTTAATTAAGAGCTATTAAGCTTTTGATCAAGAAAATTTTAATTTTTGTACATAGCTTGGAACTAGCTGTGTGTGTCTAATTTCAAGCTGTGTTAGAATTAGTTTTCCTGTGTCTAAAACCGTCTCTTAACTTAATCACCTATTAATTTTTTTACCACTTGAAATCAGCAAATACAACTTTACAAGTATACTTAAAGGATTCCTAATATATTCACAGACTTATTTAAAAGTCTCAAACCATAATATTCTTTCTACACTGACAGACTACACAAACAGTTTATCACTAATTGGTAGAGCAAGGTCAACTATCAACTTTGACACATTTTTCAATGTTCTCACTGGGTGACGTGCACTGCCTCTCTTTGGATCTCAACATTTTCCTGCCAGACGGCCCAGACCTAGTGTTTTGGCATTGGCAATAGTATGGTGCGCAATAGTATGACGTCACTATTTCAGCCATCAACAAATGCGTGGAACTAAGAAAAAGCTTAATATAAAGGAAAAAAGTCAAGATGTGTCGGAATTACCCACGATGTTGGAATATACTGCGTTTACCCTATGCCTACTTGGTGAGCCGCATAGTGACAAACCAGAGAATTGGTTCATTTTTAATTTCCTGATTTAATCAAGATTCAAACCAATATTTTTATCATTTTTATGTATTAAAAATAAAATACTGGTATCCATGATACTTTGCTAGTCTTCTTATAAGACTCGGTCAAAATTGAACTTGAGGCGGAGCTTCAAAAAAACTCTGCTTTGTCACTATTGACTATGTTGAGCTGCAACTGAATTTTTCGAGCTATGGTTTTGTGGATTTGCCAGCCATCATGAGCCATGATTCCATTTCTTTGAGCCCTGATTTAATTTCTTGATTTTCTTCAAGCCATAAATTCCATACCTCGGCCATTAAAAGCCATTTACGAGCTGGCAGCTGCAAACTTTTTATGAAGTCCCATGCACATGTAACAGTTATCCCTAATCTCTAATTTTACCCCAATTTTTTATTAATACAATATTCTATACCAACTTTTCAAGGGAGTGGCATCACTGGTATGCAATATACTCATTAGGCATCACTCTCAAACATATTGGCATAGCAGAAAATGTTGTAAATATTATTTTTAATGCATTTTCTCATGTATGGAAAAAAAGGTGCTATTGTGCTTGTCATGTCTGTCTGTCTGTGACCACGTTTTTGTAGATTTTGAGAAAATGTGCTCTGTCACTCACTGCAGTGAGTGCTGAGTTATATTTTTCGAGTCTTGAGTGAAATTGAGACTTGAGACTGTCAGACTGAGAGCTATGAGCAGACCAAAAAGGATTCATTGTCAATGGATATCAGTAAAAGCAATCAGCATTATCTTACTTACCATCAATGCTGATGATCTTGCCAGCTGCTGAGTGACATTAAAGTTTCCAGCCTACCATAGAAACGGTCTATTTTATAAATAAAACTTAACCTTATCTTTCCATTGCAATCAAACCTGCTTTTTTAGTTATTTTGTGGTTATCAAACCCTGTAAATTGTAGTTCTGTCCAGTTTTTTTTTTTTTTGTGAGAAACAGCAATGTATGTGCAGTTTCTGCTGAGTGGTGACATATTCATGTGGCATTGATGGTGGATATTGAATAAAATTTTGAACTAGATCAGAGAATTAAAAATGATCTGGTTTCTAAAAAATCCATCAGTCCTTATCACTTGGTCAACAACCTGGAGTTTTAAACAGGTTGTCTGCACATTTCCCAAACTGTGAAATTGGGCAAAGCAACGTGTAAAGTAGATTGGAATTTTCCCAATTATGAAGGAGTGACCAATTTTTGATACATTTGGAATTTAGTGGCCTGATTGTGCAATTTTATTAACAATAAGATAAGATATAATTCACCTGTTGGGAATCTTGCAGTTCTTAAAATGGAGGAAAATCTCTAATCGTGGCTTGAATGGTATATGTATATATTCCACACCAGCCTGTGAATAAGACAAAAATGCAGTCCCGTAAATCTAGTCAAAATCATCCATTGACCTTTCCTATTGCCCTTCCCAGTTTCTGCTGCGAAAATAAGCAAAAGTTTGCCTACAAATTTCAAAGCCACCCTTGTGATGATCAGTTTTACCTGTAATTTTCAGAAAATTCCACCTGATGGTATAGATTGGAACATTTCTTGATACAAAGCCCTTCAAAGAAACTGTTAGGCAAAGGGACTTTCACTCCATGTTTGGAGTTTACATGAAATCTTCCATTGCAGGTTTGCAGCAACATTTTATTACAATGAATTGAAAAAGTGCTGCCAATCTTTAAATGAACTCAAACCATGGTATTCACATGAGAAATTGTGAGATGCCTTGATGCCTTCATTTTCACTTCAACTGCTAACAGCCCTCACTCATTAAACCCTTTCAATTTCATCTATGAATAACTTATTGACCATCCTGGAAAATTTGTTATTTTTGACATTATATCAAATTACATATCTTACTTCATTCCAGAGTCTAATTTTATAATAATTTAATTTGATCCAGTTTATGAAAGCAAATTAATATCACTCAATTCTATAGTTAAAATGGAAGAGCCCATGGTTGTTGACAATTTGGTTGAAGGAACCAAATTTGGGGCTCTAAAGGTAAGCTTATTACAATAAAAAATTTCCTAACTCTGAAATATAATTAATGGTTAAATTTGTCAATTGATTCAATTGAAAGATTAAATGGTTATCAGCAATAACTTGAAGGTTTAGGAGGATTTAATTTTAGAGTTAATCTTAATTACCAATATGGCTATTCTCATCATGTTCGTCATGTCATACACATCTCATCATGTCAGTTTTCATCATGTTGAAATTGCCATCGCAAGTAGAACTGCATTTACTTAACAAATCATTTGTTGCTTGTTGCATATGTAATGCTATTTCAAATTCACCTCTCTTCAAACAACAAGTATAAATTTTTAATAGTAATAAATTTTGTAATTATGTAACTAGATATTAATAATCATTTTATTATAGTATTTGTGGCTTTGCGTGAAGTTAGCAATGGATCTATCTATAATGCTAATGTACTGCTCCCATTCCTCACATTATGAGTGAAAATCTCATAAAATATAAAATTACTTGCTTATGTGTTTCAAAGAATAATAGACCACTATAAGCTGCAGCAAAATTCACAGCATGGCAATATTTTGTTACCTACTACAGCAGCTGTCAAACTTGGTTTGTTCAATCTTTGAATCTGACACATTTTATATTTTTCAACAAAGTCTTTTCGATTCCGAGTTTTAATTTCTGTAAATGTTAAAGTTTCAGCCAATTTTTTTGCACTCTAATGTCCAATTCAACTTTACAGGCCAAAACCCATCCAATACTCCAAGACTACATCATCTCAAGCACTGTGCTGGGGCTTGGGATCAATGGGAAGGTTGTTGAGTGCTACAGTAAGCAGGGCCAGAGAAAGTATGCACTCAAGGTAAGGCTACTTGCTGTTAGAGATGAAAAATTTTTCTTCTATGCTACACACTGCTGAAAACTTGAGTTTTGTATTAATTTATATCATTATCTGAATTATGATAGCGGGCATAAAAAATATCCAAATTAGAGCCATTGACATTTATTTTATGTTGCTGATGAAAACTGTTCATAATGACCGTTAATTTTGCTATATGGTGAAACATGAACTTTTTTTCCTGGAGATAATATATTGATTTGGTGACTCCTCTTGAAGGTCTTGCGTGACTGTGCCAAGGCGCGCAGAGAAGTGGAGCTGCATAGCCGAGCTTCTCAGTGTCGCCATGTTGTGTCAATCATTGATCTCTATGAGAATGTCTACAACAACACCAAGTGCTTACTTGTTGTTATGGAATGGTTGGTATCAACTCTATGGGTTTTTTGCCAATATATATGAGTTTGAATAGTTAGGGAATACTGGTAATTTGTACAGGATTTTTATTCATACCTCCATCTTCACAGTTTTTGTTTTCTAGTTTTGCAGCTTGAAAACAAATTTGTTGATCAACCACTATCACAATGTCTGAATTTTTTTTTTTTTTTTGTTGAAGTGTACGGCAAGTGAACTTGCATTTAATCCCCGGCCCCGCGCTACCATTTCCTTAGTCCTTACTCCTTAGTTACTTAACTTACCTTAATATATGTTTCGGACGTAGCAGTCCCAGGCCACGATGGATCTCCGTCTCGGACTATCGCTCATCTATTTGTGAGCATTTAGTATCTATTTGTGAGTACATCAGTCAAAAATATGGTTTAACTTGTGTTTTTTTGAACCACTTTTCTTACTAGCATGGAAGGCGGAGAACTCTTCCAGAGAATCCAAGATCGTGCAGATGTCGCCTTCACAGAACGAGAAGCAGCCACAGTGGTGCGTGACATCGCTTCTTCCCTGCACCACCTGCACATGCTCAACATAGCGCACAGGGACCTCAAACCTGAAAACTTGCTCTATACATCTCAAGGTTCTTATATTGACTCATAAATATTCACAATATTACCTTTATAAATTAATTTATTATAATGTACAGCAAAAATTAAGACAAAAAAGTCATTTGGCACAATTGTATTCACTGTAATTACTTTTGCAACTTATTTGTTTGTAATTTTTCAATAGATCTCTTTCCATCCATCAGACGAAAATGCTGTTTTAAAACTAACGGACTTTGGGTTTGCAAAGGAGACGTTCTCAAAAGAATCTCTTCAGACGCCATGCTATACGCCGTATTATGTTGGTGAGCAATAACTTAAACGCTCACTTGCTATCTTTAAGTAATGCATGCATTATAGTTCCACTTAAACAAAAGTTGCTAGAAATGACGGTGTTAATGTTCATTTTTCAACGGCAATTTCACTACTTTCTTTTCGTCAAAATCATTATAATAACCAATCTTTTTTATACTGATTCAGATTTGCGTTAGATTTCTGCAATTTGCCTTTGATTTTGTTGTTAGGAATTTTCTATAATCGCAAAAATTTATTTACGAACTGATATTTCAAACCAATATTGCCTAGTTAGTTTTTAAGGACCATTCTTGTCTTGTATAAGTTAAGCTCATGAAAATATTTTTTGTTATTATTTATCTTCTATGTATTTTTCAGCTCCCGAGGTACTCGGACCAGAGAAGTATGACAAAAGTTGCGACATATGGAGCCTGGGTGTCATCATGTACATCCTGTGAGTCTATAGGTGTAACATTGATAATTTTTTCCAATTTTAATGGGAATATTTTAGTACACTTTTGGTAATTTACCTAGGTATTTGATTTTGTATAACTTTATTGTCTGGTACTGACTTTCATTGCAATAGCCAATTGATCCATCTCGAATTCATGCTTGCTATCTGTCTTATATTTTTCGCATCCATTCGAAAATTTTGAAAAGTCTATTTCTTCTACAGGCTGTGTGGTTTCCCACCATTCTACAGTAACCACGGACAAGCAATTTCCCCAGGCATGAAGAAGCGCATACGCACAGGCCAGTACAACTTCCCCAACCCTGAGTGGAAAAACGTGAGCAATGACGCCAAGGAGCTCATCAGGGGCATGCTCTGCACACAACCTGAGCGCAGACTCACTATCGATGATGTGATGCGACACAAGTGGATCATGGTAATGGATCCTTCCTGATGCAGTAAAATCCTATACTTGCAGTTTGTTTGATGTGATGATGTGGTGCGACACAAGTCGATCATGGTAATGGATCTTTACCTGATGCAGTATACTCCTATGCGTGCAGTTTGTTTGATGTGATGTGATGCGACACAAGTGGATCATGGTAATGGATATTATTATTAACCTGATACAGTGTACTCCTACACATGCAGTTTGTTTGAGTTTCAAGTTTTTATAGAAGGACATCATAATCTTAGTAATCGTGTTTGAATGTTTAAATTTTAATCGGTTCAAAAATCCAACCACTAGTCTGATGAATATCTGTCTGTTTCTTTGTTTGAGTTTTTGGAGCATGACGCCGTAGATTAATTGGAGATGTCTAGGCGCGTTTCCACGATACTGATTATATTGGGATAATACTTAGATCTAGAACGCTTAATGTTAGTCATGGAATAGAAATACATTTCAAAACTGGGAGGAAAATTTGGATCAAAAATTAAAATTGGATTTGTAAATTTGCATAATTTTAATTTAAAAGACAAGAAATAATTTTTTCGTAATCTGAAACGAGAGTCAAATGAGAGTCCTACATCCCTTCAAAATGTGGGTTTGAAGGAGTTTTTTTATTTAAATTATCAGCAGCTTTATTATTATTACAGAAATTAAGGACAACATGAATGACTGTATATGGAATAATGAGATTCTAAAATTTAATAGATTGTTACGCCTGGGCAACGTCGGCCTAACACATTACTTTGCAAACATAATAGATATTTGTGTATCTTATTCGAAAGTTTGTTGTCAGGAGCACACATCTGTGGCCCAGACTCCCCTGCACACAGCGCGCGTGCTACGGGAAGAAGGTTCGGGCCAGTGGCAAGAAGTACAGGACGAGATGACGCGATCCCTGGCCACCATGCGCGTCGACTACGACACTCTCACCATCAAAACCCTTGACGCTGCCAACAACTCATTGCTCAACAAACGTCGTCATCGCTCGGGGGCTTCGTCGTCTCCTCTTCCACCTCTGCAAACCACTGCTGCTGCTGTGGGGGCCTCGGCGGGGCGGCCTCACTAACTAGAATCTGGTGTAATGAAAGTTGAAAATAACCTTATAACATTGAGGTGCATGTATCCATTGCTAGTATGCTCAATAGAATCCATTAAATCGTGCCACACTCCACTGAAGTAACCACAATTTCTCATTCAATGAAATGCGCTGTCAACCGTTCTGAGTTCATAAATATTAAAACAAACAATTTCAGTCTTACCAATTGATACTTCCAAGCGGTACTCCACACGGTTCTCCCATTATGTGTTATTCATGATTTTAACTCGATGTCATGGTTACTAACGAGCTGTGGAATTCCTTCAAAGTAGAGGGACTCCTATTTTTTGTTGTGGAACTTATTTAACGTAACAAATGAATCGCTCATTTTCGTTTAACTCTCGTACTCACGTCTTAATGTGCTGCTGCTATAGCCCTGATAGCAAGCACAAAATTGAAAGCCTCTTTTTGCAGGGCTATATGTTTGGTTCAGATCGGTACGATTAAAATAGTTTATGCTCTCATACGTGAATCCTAATTTTGTGGCACATTCATGTGTATCGTGTATACGAATAATAGTTACAAAATGAAAAAAATGATAACCTGCTGTAGATCATGCATATAAGGTGAGCTATCATTTACGAATGGTTCATTTTTCTGTTGACAATATTAATCAGTATTCTGATCTGACTTCGTTTATCACGTGTGTTCGCAGTGAGAGTAACGACTATTGTGTGTTACACGCGCTGCGTGTATTGCGCCTGTGAAGAATCAAAATGTGGAGCGGAAAGTTAAACTGGTAAAAAATGTTGAGTGGATTGTTTGTTATCTAAGTAACCAAAATCCTAATTTTAAAGTCAATCGCAAATTGTGAGAAGCTTGAGTCACTGTAGCTCCTTATTAGTTAATAACGTCTGGTATTCAAAGCAAACGAGGGAATAATAACTACGAGAAGAATGCTCTGAATGTTGGTGGATTGGTAGTAATTCTCTCGTAGAGATGAGCAGTTTCCTCTTTGCTCCAGTTTGCTCCAGTTTGGAGCAGTTTGCTGCACAGCAATGTGAAAAAAAATCTGTGTGAGTATTTCCATCAGTGTATGTGTCTGTACGTTGGTAAACCTGTGCGCTGGCTATCTTTTAAATTTACACAGTTTGAAAATCCTCGTCTCATTTCTTCTTTGTGTCGTTGATTTCCTCCTTTCACGCGTTTTCTGAAAACGCGGATGATTTTGTCCTTGTCTATGTGTCAGTTTACTCGTCTGCCCTCGTATGAATAACGCTGCCTTTTCCATGTATATTTACATAGTTGATTTCAATAATTTGCTCGTGTTAAATACGTGCCAATTTTCTATACAACGGAATCTCTGAACTAGTTCCTAGTATCTTGAAAAATGGAGATGGCAACAAATGTACGGAGTGCATTTTACTTTTGGTGATGAGTTATTCAGAGATGGCCTCTTGTAAAGATCACCAATGTCATATTTTCGCATCTATTTTGAAAAATTCCACTAATAAATTAAGTGAAAGTGTCGGAAACTTTAATCTTGCTGTTCAAGAAAACTGTAATTTTTGTGTAAGCCAGACTGTTTTTAATGTTAGGACATCCGAAATTTATGAGGTTCTATCAACATCTGTGTTGTTATCAACCTGCACTCGCTATACGAGTATTTTCCTTTCTGTGTATGTCTTCTGTAGTAAGCTTTGTGTAATTTAGGGTGCTATTCCTATTTTTGTCATTCACAGTTTTGGAAACTCGCTATTAACTAGCTGTATACTAACAAACTTTCAGAAAGCTTCAAATTCTCATTTAGTATGGAAAGTTTATGTGGTTTGCTCTGGTGCAAAGACCGTTCCTCACCCGCGGAACTGACAACTCTTGCAGTCATCCATGATGAAGATAGTGGCTTATTTGCAGCATTCCTTTTTTATGCCCGCCAGAATAAATTTGCGCTCAGTTTAAATATGAATTTTTGTTTCAGTTTAGTCCACTTCTTAACCGTAACCTAGCATTTATTTCTTAATCGTAAAACGTAACAAATTATGTTTTGTTTGAGGAAAATGCTTCGTTTTTAGTGCTGCATTAATTGGTGTTAACCTCTTTTTAAATTCGCCCAAACCATTAGCTTGCATTCAATGGATTGATCAAGACAATAATATTTGTGTTTGTTTACTCATTCTCCGTTAATATCAAGCATAGATCATGCGAGAGCAATTTTTGTTTGTAATTTTTCGGCAGGGTAATGTTTAAAGCCATGGCTTTTGTTAGCTCTGTATCTTATTCAACAAAATATATTTGAAGTGACGGCGTTATTTCTCAAATATTAAGTCACAATTTCATTGGCTACATTATTTTCAAAACGAATCGAAATGCCTTCAATGTACAGTTTTTGATGCGTAGACTAGCGGCTGCTGTGAGTCGGGTTTATGGTTAAGAGTCTAATATTAGGAGCTTGTTATCTATTTTTGATATGAACATAGTACAGTGCAACAGCTCCATTATTCATATTGCATAGCTCGAAGCGTGCTTGTCAAAATGTATTAATGCTTTCTTATTAGTTTAGTGAGGTTAAACTAACCCGCAATTCAACTTTCGTGCTGAGATCATGCCTAATCTGTCCTCCTGTGCCGCCTCTTCAGTTCAGGTGCGATATTTTATTAGCTTTTTTCACGAGCTGTGTAGATGAGTTGTTTAGTCACCTCGAATTCACAATGGTCGACATCGGTGAGCATGATGGTCTCTCAATTAATCCATTGGAATTACTATTGGTTATAATATTTCAGGTAATTATGTATTTAACAGCCCACAGTTGCTACGCGCTCTTGTGCAAGCTCCTCTTGGGTTTTGACCCGTTGTTTTTGGTTATGAGCAGCTCAACTCTTCAAGGTGTTTCGGTTTTATGCACAATTAATGGCTCATGAGAAAGATTTAGTATGTATCACATTTTTTGATCCACTCTTTATAAAGTATTTGGGATATTTATGACTATGAGTTCAATTGTATCGTTAACTGTATTTATGATAAGGTGTTTTATTTGAATTGTTGTCCTTCAGTTTTGAACTGATTAATTACAATTTTAGTTGAGATTCATGTTCTTATATTCGTATTATCTCGTCTCTTTTCGATATTTCGTAGGAGTTTTTCTTAAGACTCTTAGATTTAAAATATTACTTACTGTATCTCTACCACAATTCATACTCATTTCGAGCCTCTTATTTTGTGCAATGCTTCTCTCGATACAATACCCAAATTTGGAAACATTTGCCAAAACTATTTCAAGGTATTACGTACTTCTTGACTGCCCTAACATGTCCATAGATCTTTCTAAGTTCATTTAAGTAATTTATAGATTTACCTATAGCAGAATAACCGACCTTGCATCTCAGTTCACGTGTAATATTTTTCTTGTTGGCTGAGCCTGGATGTGAGCTCTGATGCTGGTGCGCGGTCAGATATAAATAATCTTTCTTTGCTATTGTTATAGGTACTCGCCATGTTACTGACAGCAATCTTATTTGATTCAAAGCAAATTTGAATTTATATATATATGGATAATTTTTTTTTGTCTCGTCAACGTCAACTATTGTCATACTTGAGTTAGCTATTAGAACGATTACAAATAATGTTAGCTGAAATTATTTTCTCTTGTTTATGCATCTCATGGCATGAAATTTTGAGGATATATAGGTATATACGAGCTTGTTCAATGCCTGCATCATGATTATCATTTAATTTGCACTATTCATGTATGTTTACTTTAGTAGAGTTGAAAATTGTTCATTGCTTCGTATGAAATGAACGATACGTGTGGGCCTACTTATGTGATTCTATAATCTATTTCTAATGCTCAATTTTCTGCAACTGCAGCGACGTTCACGCAATTTTTAACCGAATTATTATTCTCTGAGAGAACGATTTTTTAGCGAACTATTAATGAAGTTTTACCATCAGTTGTCTTTCTTCGTTTGATCACTATCTAAAATTTTGTGCAAGTTGAGACCAGTGTTATCTCATTTCTTGTCATCCCATTCTCTTATGTCCCTTCTCATTTTTTTATTGACTTCGGAATAGGAGTCCGCTGTAATTTTTGAATACCTAACTTATGTTGTTCGTGTCACATCAAGTGTTATTTCTGTGTTTCTGCTTGTGACTTGTGAGTATGATGTGTCTCATCATCCTGTCGTTAATTGTGTCGTCGCATCCTTTCAAGAAAGTCGTTAATTCATGTTTAACCCATATCTGACTGCAGCGGTAGATCTGGATTACCACTCGGTACGATACTAATAACGTTCTACAATTATGCAGTCTGACAAGGGTTAATCTTCTGTGCAATCATTTCCTGTTATTAATATCAATTTATTGTAACTTATCTGAACTATTGAAATAAACTCGATTTCAAAATACTACAAGGTTATCGATGTAATTTGGAGTAACATTGAAACTTGTTACTAGTTCTATAACTTATCTCGTGACAATAATGGATTAAAATGATGCGCATCATGTCATCTCGTCCAGGAATTCCTATGTGGACATAATTTGAAGCTTAATAAAATAATTGTCAAATCATCCAATCTTAAATTTTTTGCCTTGAAAATCGTGCCATGTTTTTTGTTTTATAATAACGGATGTTCTGCGAATAACGCAAACTGAAAACAGTAAGCAGTTCCTTCTGAAATTTGTTTCCGGTACAAACATTCTCATTTTATTCACTCGTATGAAATTTAAAAATCATGTGTTCTACTCTCGTACGTAAATGTGCCTGTACACAGGGGTAGTACTAGCCGCTAGTTCATCCGCCGCTTGAACTGTCCAGTGTCCACGCTACTAGCCTCGTGTACATGGGTTCAACCGCTTTAGCGGCATGTGCCCGAGACCCGGCCGAGAGGGACAACGATTTGTTGATTTCTTCGCTGGAGAAGTCGCTAGTAACGCTGATTCAGCCATGGTGAGAGCATCTGTGCCGCTCTTGTGAAGTATCTTGGGTCAAGTGAATCATGGCTTGTTTGAACGATAATGGTTCTAAGAAGAACCCAACAAAGTAGATTCCGGACGATATTCAATTGTTTTTTTAAATATTCCAAAAAAATTGAATTAACTCAATAATGCCGAGAATTAGTTTTGAATTATTTTCTGATTTCCTGTGAGAATACTATCATTTGGGACTGTAATAACTAAAAAATATGTTCAAATGTTTATTTTTTGTTGTAGCTATATGAAAAATTATAGCTTGGTCCCATTTAGAGCCAGGCTACAGCGCTACACATCATGATCTGACTTTAGAAACATTGTATCGCGCAACACCATATACAGCATTAAAATTACTCACTTTATCGATAAAATTCTGCATCTAACTCATAAATAATATATTTTTAGAACGAATTACTCACTTTTCTCTGCTATGATATCAAACCGTTCTGTCTGACACCTAGTTCTAGTAATCTTTGAATGTTAACTGAAAAGAGATTGGTCGGCGCAGCAGCACCAAATTTTGCCATAACATGTACAAGTACAAGATGTGTATCAGAGACGTTATTAGTCAGAAATTAGTTATTCCCGACGTTGCATTTTTAATGGCTAGAATAAAGAGTATAAAAACAACGTATAAACTCGAACGAGGAGATAGCGCCACCTTATACTCTCCATGTGTACAGGCTTACTTGCCGGATAGTCACCAAGCGACCGACACTTGCCAGATTTACTAGCCGTCTGCATTATCCCCGTGTACAAGCACCTTTAGACTCTTGGGAGCGCAGCCGTGGCGTAACAAAATTAACTCGTAAACAGGCCCTGGGCCCAACGCCAAACATCAGCAAGCAATAGCTACACATAGCCTCAGATCAATGAGCTGTGAGTAACTCCGGCTAACAGTAAATCCGCTCTGCACAACACAGCCACTGCTTCACAGCGCCGGAGCCCAACTGGCTGGAGCGCAACAGGCGGCGCAGGTTAGGTTACGTTACGTTAGAAGTAGCTGTTGCGGTAGGGCCAGTTGGGCTCCGGCCTGTATGCGCTCCGGCCTGTGACTGAACGGCGTAGTTGTGGTGGGTGCTTTGTGTCAAAAACCGTGAAGATGCCCGGCTGTGTTACGCTCGGGAAGGTATATGAATCGCACTGTGGACTTGGGCTATGCTGACCTCTAGCTAGGTATCCACCCTAGGCGCTTAACGAACAGCGTAGCAAGGAGTGATACATCCGTAAGAGAGGGATATTTATTCTAATCTGAGCAGGATTATACACAGAGACACAACGTTGATTCAGATGTAATACGGTGTTGCAAAACTAAACCGTAGTAGAAGGATGGCTCACAAAATTGTTTTCATTGTGTTAATGTTTATACGCTTTGTTATGAAAATATCGGTAAAACTTTAAGTCGTCCTGCATGGCGGTGTCATGGTACAACTGCTCGCAAGTTCGCAACCTTTGCGACGTTTACGTAGTGCGACTCTCCGAATGACGCCTATGCAAACAACTCGGCCAGCGAAAATTACCGACGGGATTGTCGTTTGTAGCTCGAGCTCCTAATTACTATGATGCTGCGGCGTAAGGGTGGAGGTGCGACTGGTGCGTCGATGTCTGACTCAGAGTCTCAGACGTTGACGCCGGCCGGCGGCCCTACACCCCTTTGCGGCTTTGCCTGCTTCTGTGGCCTGTGCCTTTGTAGGTAGGTTGATACCAATTACCATCATCGCTGCCTTTTTCATGGATAATGATGTGCCATCTTCCAATCAACTTTATGAAGTCCATTTGAGTTATTGGATTTGGACCATTTGGTAATGATGTTTCAGGTGGAGATCTTGATAAATGGATGAGTTTCTGCCACTCTCTGGCAATGACTGCCGACTGGCATTGGGCATTGGCTGGCTTCAGCAGTTCCAACTCACTTTCACTGCAGATACAATTCTGAAAGGCAAAGATGAGGTTCCAACCTCAATGTTTAAACTTGAAGTAACTTTTAACTCGCGTACCTTTCCAAACTTTCTTAACCTTGGAGGCTTAGATACCAGCATTTCAGATTCAGAGTCTTGAGTGCAGTGAACCCATATAGTATTCATATATTGCAACCCTTTGCAGAATTGCAGTATTTTAAGTGTCAAGGCTTTGGAGTTTGGTCTGATTGGTCACAGTGTAACTGTAATCAGTGGCAATAATCCCTCACGCAGAGTGCAGACAGAGACAGTCAGACTCGCAGTCATGCTGTGATCATGTGATGTCTGTTCCAGTGCCAATAATGTGAAAGATTGCTCTCATCAAGGCAGTCCACTTTGTTTTTATTGTGGACGGCTGGAGGCCGAGGCAACTGCTTTTACAATACACGGCCAGCTACACTGATTGGAATTTTCCTACTGGTTTCTGAAATCTTGTGGCTGCAATGTGATGAATTTTTAATACAATTGGAATCTTGCGGCTCGATCGTGCACTTTTGTTAGCAATTATATAGGAGCACGATGCAATTACATATCAATTTTAAATTACCTTGGTAATTTGAGTTTTGTGAACACCGAACTTAAATTAGAGGAGCGGCTCGCAGCCTCCATCAGAGTGGTCAGACAACCTCCCACGCTGACAGTCTAGATAACACTGCCTGCGGCAGTGCAGCTGCCAGCTGCGCAATGAAGATTGCGCTCACAGCAGTGTTCGTGTGAGCGGTATATCAATGCAAAATAGTCTTAGAGCGCCAAAAAAGTCTTAACTTACTCACGGAACGCAAAATGACTCTAATCTTCAAGATCATTTATAAATTAATAAAAGCAACATTCTTCCTTAAACAGACACTGGTATGCACAGAAAAACTTTCGCTAATAATAATTATGACCTCAGTTACACGTATTTCTTCGTAAAATTGACCGCTTTTTGCTTTTAATTTGTAAATGTTTTGTTGACAGGTACAATGGCGAGCTGTATTGCACTTCACGATTGTTTATACAAGTTTTAAACTGAAATACTCAGTAAAATTAAAAAATACTTGAAGAAAATCCGATGTCTATTATTAAAATTCATAAGAAATTATTTAAACATTACCTATGGCACGTTTCAAATTATAAAAATAGAAAAAGCCACTCTAATGACACTTCAATGGTAGAAGATTATTGACACCACTTAAAGCAAATAAGAGGATGCAACTCGACGATCGAGTTCTCTTAAAAAAAATTGAAAACAATTTTTCATGTGAGAATTACATTGTTCCATTACATTTTTAAATAATCTCCTTAGATTTTTTATATAATGATAGTAATTAATTAATGACTACTTCTCAATACTTATTTAGATGTCAATAAATAGCTTTGTTTTTAATTGGCTTCTCATCTGTAAGGGACTAAAAATTAACTTTCAACGAACTGAATGAAACCAAACGCTAAAAAAAATTATGACAATGCACAAAAAATGATAACGTCAATACATAATTTAGTTGTTAATTATCTCCTTGTTGTTGTAATTGGACAAACTCATGCGTGCGCAGATGGTAAAAAGTAGCATTAATTTGCTAAATAATATCGAAGGGAACTACTTTGAAGTTCGAATAATATTGAAAAAAACTACCCTTCATTTTATTAGGTCAAGATTGGTTTCGATTTAAAAAAGTATACGTGGAACATTTTCAGTGGAAATTCGTCTCAGAACTGTTGATTCGGTCTACTGAAATTTACCAGAATTTTCTCAACATCGCCTTTCGAAGTTCTTCAAACGAACCTTAAGTCAAGGATATAATCGTTGTGATAAAATTATTAAACGAGAGAATTATGAACAAATAAAAATTAGGAAGGAAAAAAACACTTGAATTGCTTAATGAGTTTTTAATTTAAATAGCAATGAGTTGTTGGGCTTAGGTTATAATTTTGTTATCTATATATTTTCACCCTATCGTTGTATGTGCCATGACTATTTAGATTGATTGACACATTATTTTGTTGCAGAATGGCAGCCGATAATCAATATACATAGGAGATAAATGTATGTTTTGAAAGCGAAAATATTAATATATATTTAAGCCTTGCAACTGAATTTAAGGCTTTCGACCCTTTTAACGCGTGCAAAATTCTTTTAAGTGTTGTCTACCTTATTGTCCTTTGTTTATAGTCCGTTACATCTATAGTCCGCGACTGGCGCATAATTAATTCACCAACAGTTTTGAAGTGTGTTGATTGCTAAGTGCTGTTCAGCCTGTTATTACTACGATCTCCAGTTTTTCCTCAAATCAGTCGAATGGATTACTGATAACTGACTAAACTAGTCTTCATTTTCTGAGCATAGTAACTTAGTAAGTAATATTTATTCGTGAATCGTGATCATTCCTGAATCCTGATTCCATGCATAATCTACTCTCATATCTCCTGTAAATGGCTCCATTGCGTAAGTCTCGTAGCACTTCTCCCTTAATTTCGTGAATTGTGATCATTCCTGAATCCTGATTCCATGCATAATCTACTCTCATATCTCCTGTAAATGGCTCCATTGCGTAAGTCTCGTAGCGTAGCAGTTCTCCCTTTCTTGGCAATAATTATTGACCGATTTCTGCTTTCAGTGCACCATTTTGAAAAAAATTAAATTAGGATCAGTTTGTTAATGAAAAACCTAGAAACCTAGCAAGAAGCAAAAAACCGAGATCTACCTAGGTTTTTTTTTGCTTTGGAGTGCCACTGTGTGCCTGCTGGAGTGCTGGGGGTGGCACTGGGGCTAAATGCCCAAGGATTTCTTAAAAAACCACCATGTATAAGAGGTAATTCATCTGGTGGAAATCTTGCAGTTCTGGAAATGGCAGGAATGCTCTAGTCACAGCCTTAAAGGTAGAGGTTTTCCACACTTGAGCTACAGGAGATGTAGTTTCATGAAAGAGGCCAAGGGCCCCCAAGGTGGTTGAAAGAATCAGAGTTGAGCAAAAGGTTTCCTATCAGGAAGCTTGGAGAATTGTGAAGCAGTCAGCCAACAGTAATATGTCTCAGCTCTCAGGTTGATGGAGCAACTTGCTCTAATGTGTCAACCTCTCAATCTGCCCAGCTTTTTCCCCTCATCTCAGCAAGGAAGAGGGAACCTGGGCTCAGAGTACAGAGAGTAAAGCCTATACAATTTCCACTCTCCAAAGTGTGACAATTGGAACCCAAACATAGAACTCTACACCCACCTTGCAGGGACTTACTGCAGACATGAAATATATGATTATATATCTACTTGGCAAGCCGCGACTGAATTTTTGGAGCCTTTGTTTTATGGATTTGCCAGCCGACAGCCGTGATTCTATTTCTTCAAGCCATGTTTTAATTTCTTTGAGCCGTGAATTCTATATCTTGGCCATTAAAAGCCATTTACGAGCCAGCGGGATAGCTATCAAGCGGGATAACATAAATATATTTCTCATCTATAACAGTATTATCACAAACACGACATTAAAATCTATATCAATGAATATATAAGCAGTGATTTGAAAAAGCATATTTATGATAACTACTCACCATTGACCACAGGCAGTAGTGTGAGTATAGGGTATCAACTGATAGGAGATTTGGAATTTGAATCACCACTGACACATAAAATAATGGTCTGTGAAAAGGGCAAAGAGAATGAGATGGAGAGCACTGATAACACAAATATAGATAATGTTCACCATGAATTTCAGGATTCTAAATAATTTCACATTAACTCGGAACTGGGGGAGTGTTACTTCCCCAAGTGGGATCAAGGTGACCACCACTCTCCAGCAGTAAGAGTGACAGCCCATAACAACCCAATTTGTGGAAATGAAATAGGAAATAATGAAATACATGCTAGAAATACTTGCTAACTATATTATAATTTGGAATTTGGATATAAACATCACTTGAAAACTGAGCGCTCCAATCAATCAATCCATTTGCTAGAGCCACAATGGTCATAAATATGAATTATTTTGATAAATTTTGGCACATTGAGTGATGACCTGCCTTCAGGTACTAGTACCGTATTACTCAAGTATTAGTCCCATAGTCAGAAAAAGTCAAATTTACATGAAGGAGATCAAAACCTAAATTCCAAATTATGGCATATGAGTGTAAAAACATAACCAGTAAGTTGTAAAACAATTTAAAGTAGATGAAAACTGAAAGCATTGTCAAGATGAGGTTTCCTACCTAAAATCCAAAAATTTCTTTCATAGGCAGTGACATCACCATGTTCATATGTAGTGAATTTACTTGGCATTCTCTCTCTTTTGTTTTTCTTCTATATTCTTTTTTAGCTTGCCATTTCAGAAAATTGAAAACGAGAGAAACTCCATTGATGTATAAAAAATGCTGAAGACAAGCCTCTTGATTGTGAAAAATGAAAATACAAAGTGAAGCACCACTGCTGTATTCTCTCCCTAAAATAGTGGTGATGACTCCCATGTGTAGGCAGGCACTTCCAGTTAATAAAAGGCACTAAATATGTTCTTGTTCTCATATCACACATGTTTTCTTCCAATAAGGCTCTAGATGAGAGGATGTGCCATGTGAAGCTGCAGAATGTTAATTGTCACAACAATTGGCCACACCAGATTACAGTCAAATGCTTTATGGTCAATAAAATCTATAGAATTGTTAAGTATTTTTAGCATGTCTTCCATTTTCAATAAAAGCTTACAATTATTGCATGTAATCCAAAACTGTTGGTAAGAACAGGGTTTAATTTTTTGGCCATAACAAATTCTGTTGCTATATGTTTGTACTGGCACTTTTTTTATTGCTTAAATAAATGATTTATTATATATATATATGTTTCCTAGTCAGAGCACACAACTACCCTGGTGAACAGTGTGTCCAATAGGTGACTGAAGTTTATGGACAAGGCAGACAGCAACAATGGATGATTCAGATAGTCCAACCTATGCAAGTCTTGCACCTGCCAACCCCACAATGGTTAATGACTTGGCAAGTGTTGATCTCCCAAGCTTGTCAAATATTCCAGGTTGGTGCTTATCATTCACAAACTGTATGTTTAGCTTAGTATTGAGGACAAATATTGTAATCTGGGTTATCTCCTCTCGTTTTTAAATGAAATTTTTGATTGTACAGTTCTTTGTTTGTATGAAACGTTCAACAATTTTTTCATTGCTTTTTCAATCAATGGCTAAATTACACAGTTAAGTTTTAAAGATATTGTAATTTGCCTCCTGTGCTTCATTAATCTGAAATTATTTTTGTATGTGCAGATGTCAACAGTAATGGCCACCTACCCAGCGCTGTTCAAAGTCCCTTGTCTGGCCAAGATGTTTCATCACCGCAGACACCTGCTTCACTAGACATGAAATCTGATGGTTATTCTGATATGGACAAAAGCACAATGATTGCAGTCATTCAGTTTCTAAAAAGAGGAAATCTTAAGGTGAATTTTAATTTTCCCTATGCATAGCTATCTTAATTTGATAGAACTTTGTTTTTAGCATTGAAAGATATTGTAGGTATATGTATAGGTTCTACACTTGAGAGGCAAATTTCACTGTGCAAGAATGCTATGAATGGATTATATTACAAATCTTTAATGGAAATATGGTCGTAGATATAGTGCAATCTAATCCTGTGATGAGTTGAAAGGTATATTAAAATTTTTTTTAGAAGTTCTTTTTTCAAGCAGCATATTTGCCACTCCAATACTGCAGCACATATAAAGTAAATAAATAAATATTATATATATACCTACCCTCCTATTCTACATACCATACTTTCCACGAATTGTCTATTTGATCAATCATATATCTTTGCATTGTAAAAAAGTATTCATGTTGAACTTCAATCTCTATACAGTCAACAGAAGAGATATTACGAAAGGAGTGCGGTTTTTTCGAGCCTGTAGACGTGACTGACACGTCTGGAGCCCTGGGTGAGGAGGGCGAGGTGCTGGCAGCGTACAAGAGTGATGGCAATCCTGCCGAGTATCAGGATGCATTCAAAGCTCTTTCTGCCTTTGTCGAGAAAAGTCTGGATGCATATAAAGTGAGCATTGGGCATCTGGATAATTCTTGTATAGAATGTAGGAAAAACTACACTACTGGTAGCATGTTTATCTTTTTATTGGTCATTGAGGTTTTACACAGTTTTTATTTTCCAAAGGATTATTTAGTATGAAATTTTTGGAATTGGACTTTAATTTTATTGCTGGTGATTATTTATCACAATGCTTTATTTTCTTATGGATATATTTTTTCACTCATTTCTCTTTCCATGACTTCATGCCTCTATGTTGGTATGATCTTTTATTTTGGTGTAATTTAGTACATCAGAGTAATAGATGCCACGTTATTTATTTCAGTATGAGGTAGCAGCCGTGCTGTACCCTGTACTGATCCACATGTACCTGGAGCTTATTTACAACGGTCACCGAGGCGAGGCGGTGGAGTTACTACAGAATTGCTCAAGCTCCATTGAAGCTCATCACGCTGATGACCTTAGAAGCATTTCCCTAGTTACCAGTCGTGCTCAGATGGCTGGTCAACCTTTGCTCAATACTTTGCTCTCTGCTCAATATACGGTTTGTTGCGCTATTCCTGGAATCTTTATGTTATGACATGAATTTTGGTCGAGGTTTTATAGCCTTAAAATATATTTTTGTTATAGTTGCAGCTGCAAATGAGAGCCAAATAATACACTGAAAAGTATATGTATATATAATTTTGTTCTTGGTTGTTGTTAATAGATTAACACGTTTGATGTTTATTGTCTTGTTTTGCCAGTTTTATTTCTATTTTAATAATTTCAAACCACTTCCCAGTTGGTTAATGTTGATTTGTTATTTATGTCCCCAATTTCAAGCAAAGAAAGCAATTATTTTGTTATTCAATTGTTTGATAATTAATTTACTAGTGTAACCATACTTTCCACGGTAATTTATTGTAGGTATCAATGAGGTACAAATTTATCAATTTATGTTGTGTATTTTAGTTGTTTGTTTGACTGCTTGGTTCTCACATGCAGTGCCGCATGTCTCGAGACTCTCTGGCGCACCTGAAGCGCTTCCTGGCAGACCGGAGCGCGGGCCCCGTACCTCGCATCATCCAGGACCGCCTCAACATCGACCTCGTCGACGGCCAGCCCCGCACTAAAGCTCAGGTCCTCGCCGTGCAGGGTGCCATCACCGGAGAAGCTCCTCGCTCAGGTTCATTTCTTAATGATTATTTCATACACCTGACTTATATCTCCTACGCCTGAGGCCCAATTCCAGTACATGGCTCCTGTTTAAAACTCATAAAATCAAATTTTCTACGTATGATTCAAGTTTCCTGTGCTTAACTCCCCTTTCCTCTGCCCGACGCCCCTTTCCTCTGCCCTACGCCCCTTTCCTCTGCCCTACGCCCCTTTCCTCTACCCTACGCCCCTTTCCTCTGCCCTACGCCCCTTTCCTCTGCCCTACGCCCCTTCCCTCTGCCCGACGCCTCTTTCCACTGCCCTACGCCCCTTTCCTCTGCCCTACGCCCCTTTCCTCTGACCTACGCCCCTTTCCTCTGCTCGACGCCCCTTTCCTCTGCCCGACGCCTCTTCCCTCTGCCCGACGCCCCTTTCTTCGACCCGACGCCCCTTTCCTTAGTTTCCGTAGTATTTGTTTGGGACGTAGCAGTCCCAGGCCACGATGGATCGCCGCCTCATTTGGATTATCGTTCATCCGCCCTCATTTGGGCCAACTGATGTACGATGCTGTTGCTTGCTTCTCGCCGCTGGTAGTGTTGCAGGGGAGGTCGATCTGTGATTGTGCCCAGGAACACGTCCGTCCAGTTGTCTCTTGAAGGTCTCCAGGGTGAACTCCCCCTCTCTTAGATCCTTTGGTAGGACGTTGAACAGCCTTGGCCCTGCCACGGAAAGTAAGCCTGAGCAGGTAACCAGCACGCTGGCAACCTGCTTCCACTGTGTGCGTACCCTTACGCCCCTTTAAAGCCTCTGCCCTCACGCCCCTTCCCTCTGCCCTTCCCTTTGCCCGACGCTCCTTCCCTCTGCCCGATGTATCTTTACTCCACCCTTTGTTTTCTAGAAGTTATCTCTCAATTCTTCCTCAAGGTTTCTTAACATTTTTTGTTTGTTGGTAGCTTGGGGCCTTCACTGAAAATTCGAATGCTGGAGCCGTTTTCATTGACCTCCAATTTGAAATTAACTTTAAGTGCATAATGCATTGAACACAAAATTGAATCTAAGTTAAAGTTTAATCCCATAGCGAACAAGACGAAAATATTCTATGGGCTGCTCAAGGAACCTGAGCTCCAAACTGTCATCAATGAAGAGGAAGAAGCTGAAGATGACTTGGATAAACCCAAAAAGAAGAAATCAAAGAAAGATGCTCTCCAAAAGAATAAGAAGAACGACCCAAATGCGCCTCCTGCCAACCGCATCCCGCTTCCTGAACTGTGAGCTGTAATTTAAAGAACAATGAATGGTATGCTTGAATATATTACAAAATATTTTCATATTACGATTTTTTTTGCAATATTCATGTGGGTTTATGTTTGTTCTTCATACCGTGTTTCCATCCAATGAAAAATCTTTGATTATTTAAGAGCTTGCTTCGTCGACACGATTCATTGAAGCAAACTTTCCGCAACTGATATTCATGATATTCATATCCAATAGGAGGGACCAGGACAAACAGGAACGAGCTCGTATCTACAGAGACAGCATGAAGCGTGTCACGCTCTCTAGAGACGCTCTTCCCTCCATCTGTTTCTATTCTTTCGTCAATGCCAGCAATACGTAAGATATTATAGATTTAATCTTTATAGGCATCCTTTATAATCTTTATAGTCATATTATGAATTTTGTTTAGTAAGCCTGTGTAATGCGTGGTATATCTAGATGAATACCTGTACTCAAATAAAGATTTTGTCCGACTGGGATGAATTCTTCTTATGTTTTGTCTAACCTCAACTTTTTTTCATATGTATATTGTTCTATTTCACTTGAGTGTTCATTTTAAATCGACTTGATATTAAGTAACTGACACTTGGGTTTTTCATGCGTAATAATTAACATTTTCAATTATTTCAACTACTGACACGACTTCAGTAGCGTTCCTAAGTGCCAGGTTTTTGTTACCTAAGCTGTGTTGGTGGCAGTGTTTGCAGTGTTGACATCAGCGACGACTCTTCCATCCTTGCATTTGGTTCTGCTGAGAGCATCTTGAGCGTACACAGCATCACCCCTGCTAAATTGAAGGCCATGAAGCCCGCTGAGCAGCTTTCTGATATTGATAAGGATTCTGGTCAGTTTTTTACTTTTTGTTAGTTTTAGAAATTCCTCCGCCGGAATTGTGTTTTTATTACATAGATATCTTATACTTACTGAGGTTTTTACCGATAATTTGAGCCCCAAAAATAATAAGTTGTTTTTTGCTTAACACATTCGCGAGCAAGGAATTATGCATTATAACTAATTTTATAAAGTAAATTAACTTATGTAGGTAGTTTTAGACAATATCAAACATCAAGACCATCGTAACTGTTCACGTCAAATTCATTAATTGCGACTTGGATACAGGTTATTTTGAAAAAGTTCATGAATAAATTTTTCACAGAACTTGTCATTATTTCTGGGGTTTATATCGAAAAAATGAGTTTCTTCATACTTTTATATTCGCTGCGACAGAAAATTTTGTGTTTACATTTACAAAGTTCCCTACTCAACTTGGTATTTTTTTGTACTTGACTTTCGTGAATTTTGTTTGAGCAGAAGATGTGTTGGTGCGCATGTTGGACGACCGGAGCGGTGAGACGCAGCGCAACCTGATGGGCCACAGCGGCCCTGTGACGGCTGTGTCCGTGAGCCCTGACAAGGCGTTACTGGCGTCCTCAGGTCAAGACGGCACGGGTGAGAACTCGAAGCTCTGACTTAGATGGTAGAAGCATTCGAAAGGTTCTTTGAATTTCTCACTTTATCGGTGAATAAGCTGGCTATTGCAGGGGTATATAGAATATTACATGGCCAAAGACATTGCCAAGTAGTCAGTCTACTTTCCTTTGCTCTGTGCCATAGGGACGATTGAATCTCAAGCCTACTTCGTCAAAAAATGCATGGCAATAAAACTCGAATTAACTAAACATCTGAAACGCCAAGGAATTGAAACTTGCTAAAGTAAAGAACTTTTCCACGGGCAATTAAAAGATAATAGGTAGTTTTTTTAAGTTTTTCTGATCGTGCTAACATTTTGCGTTGGTTATGACGTATCGTGATTTCATCAGTGTAATCACTCTGTGACTATTTGTGATCTTGTATGATCTTTGTGACTATACGATTTTCTGTGACCTAACTTGAAATTTTAGTGTTGTATTCTGATTACCGGTACTGTCAATGTTGTATGTTTCTGCCCATTTTAATTTTTTTTCAACAAGTTTCCTCGTTGAACAAGAAATTTGAGTTGCTAAATCCTTGCTGTCTCTCTCACCAAGTGCGCATCTGGAGTCTACAAACATGGACGTGCGTGGTGGTGTTGCGTGGTCACATTTATCCCGTATGGAGCGTGCGGTTCTCCCCTCACGGCTATTACCTCGTCACTGGCGGCCATGATAGGACAGCTCGTCTCTGGACTACAGACCAGCATCTGCCGCTACGCATATTTGCCGGGCACTACTCTGATGTGGACGTACGTAAGATTCTGGTTACGCGCTTTTAATGAAGCTCTCACCAGTTTCCTCTAATTTATGACTCGTACTATTTTTTCACTAAAATTTATGGGAATTATTAAATGAGACGATTGCCTCGATCCATTAATAAATAATTTCAATCCTGCTTCCTATGTTTAGTTTTGACTAGGGAGTATTTGATATAAATTCCTATGACATAACCTTGTTGTTTGTACCTTCTATTTTGGTATTTAAGATCTTCTTTCTTAGAGAACAACTTTTCATTGATGAAAATTTAGTGGTACAATATTATCATCCTCTTACATTATTTTACATAAGATTTCATTTATGAGTTCTCTCAAGTCTAACATATGTAGTAACTTCTACACTCATATTCTCTTCTCTGTCCACTACTATGATTGCCGTATCAATAGCTATAAAGGCGGTCTTATCGTAATCGGTTTCAATTTCATGCTCGATTTGTTGATGCTATTACCGCTCATTTAAGGTTTAGCTCCGTTGTTTCTCTTGCTGTTCATTACCTGGTATGCAGGTTGTGGAGTTCCACCCGAACAGCAACTACGTGGCGTCGGGTTCGAGCGATCGCTCCGTGCGACTCTGGGACTGCAGTAACGGCGCCTGCGTGCGCATCTTTACTGGCCATAAGGTGAGACACTTCCATGAAGCTGCACTCTACCCTCTACTTTCATCCCTTCTTATTTAAGCGTTCATATCGTTTGAATGTAAGATAAAATCCCAATTAAATTACGGTAGTGAACGTATTCGTTGCAAACGGTGCATTGTTAAGTTTGCATTGTATTCGCTATTTCTTTGTTTCAGTTATATGCATCAATAGTACAGCCTAGACTTTAATTCCAATTATTGTAGTCACTTGCCAATTGGTGTCTTTAGTGTATTTGTTCAGGTTACAGGGTAATTCATTTATTACAATAATTCCTGGCCAGTTTCAAAATACGAAAATTTTCTTGTGAGTTATATATGCATTGAAAAGATGATAGTTTCAAGTACCGCACTAAAAATAATTATAATCATGTATAAGTATTGTTAATTATGCACGATACAGAACAGTCTCGGTTTTGTGTTCTTCAGTATCTGTTTACCGGTAAGAGTTTTATGTCTCGTCTCTGCTGTGCAGGATATTAACAGGTGAATCTGTTTGCTGTCTTAGTTGAAAACTGTGCTGGGAAACGTACACTATCTGTAATGCTATGCAAAGTACATAATACTAATCATCTATGTAAGTTTCAATATAAATCACCTGTGCAGGGTACAGTATCAGCAGTAAATTTTTCACCGTGCGGACGATACTTGGCTAGCGGCAGTTGTGACGCTCGTATCCTGGTGTGGGACTTGGGTGGCCACGGTAACGCGCTCGCCGCTCTCTCCAGCCACTCGGACACCATCCACACCCTCGCCTTCTCTAGAGAAGGCACCATCCTTGCCTCTGGTCAATTTTCTATCTTTAATTGCGCGAGTACTTTGATTTTTTATTAGGATTCCTTTAATACTTATTCATGTGAATTTTGATTACTTACTATTTATCAATTTATAAACTTTCTCTTTCTTTGTAAGAAAATTACTCGAGATTTCTTCGGTGTAAATTTCATTTTTTTTTTATTGTTCATTACTGTAAAATCTACTATATTGCCTTTGTTTCTATCTCCACGTTGCTGATGTGCATTCAATATAAAGAGGTATAACAGTCTTTAGAAATATTAAAAGTTTACCTTGAGCCTGAATTTGACTGCATTTAGGGAAAAACTGTGAACGGTCATGGAACCAATTCACGCAATGATGAACTATTTCTCCTCCTTCTGACTTCCTCCTGATTTCTACCCCAGGCAGCATGGATTGCACCGTTAAAATATGGGACTTCGCGAAGGTGACCGAAGAAGGCCGGGACGAGGACGTCAATGCGACCACGTCTCCACTTGAGGACAAGTCTCTGCTGCTCTCGACTTTCCCTACCAAGCAAACGCCTGTACTGTCCCTGCACTTCACCAGACGCAACGTCTTGCTTGCGTCGGGGCCCTTCAACGGCTGAACTATCAGTATTATTATTATGCCACGTTTAATGTAAATATTATGAAGGTGCGTATTCGTAAGTGGTTCGTAAGTTAAACATGGTCCAAGGTTCATCACGCTACGTTGGACGTTTTATCTCATTTTTTAACATACAAATTGGCTGGCCTTGATCAAAGCCGCGATTGAAATCATCATACATATAATTTTTTACGTTTGTTTCGTATTTGTATTTTTTATTTGTAAAACTTCGCTTTAGGGATAAAAAATAAAAACCTCGTGTAAATTGAAATATATTTATTATACAATGACAAATACTTTATCTACCAACTTGCAAATGAGCCACTAATTCAAGCGATTGTGGATGATAATAATAGCTGTTTACAACACGCCCCAGCTGAGTTTGAAGATAAGAACATTAGGTTCATGCTAATACTTCTAATAATTTTTGCATGCAAGGAGTGGCTAGATGGGCACTCCGACCAAAACGTTTAGCGCTGTTCGGCCTCACCATAAATGTCTACCAATTATTACATCCACAGAGACCTTCACCTTCCTTACGCCGGTTGAATGACTTTTCTCTTCACTACTACAAAAGAAACCAGTAACCAGCCGCAGTTTTAGGTTCGGGTTGCTAGAAAAATTCAGTAATAAGTTTTCAAAATTTAAATTGGATCCTGTATTTACGTCTACCAACTACAACTTGCCGTGGCAACATCAAAGCGGCCGCGGCAAAAAAGGGAGTGTCTAGTGATAGGTAACAAGCCATGCTAACTATGATCCCAGTTTATACAATTTTCATATTCTCTTCATTAAAGTAATACAGTAATACACACAGCACAGAAACTAAAGGTATGCAGTAAATGATACATATCTATATAATCTTGAATAATTAAATAGGTTAAAAAGAGGGTGAATCACGGCAAGTGCATCATCATTCAGTGTATTCCCTGCGCATGCAAGATGCACGAGTACGCATTTGCGTCTCAGCAAAATAATTTGAGGCAAACCTGGGCCGAAAATGACCATAAGCCGCACTGCTTGCAACAACAACGCTTTAATTAAGTGAGGCGCTATTCTGACTTGACTTGCACTGCCTCCTACCACTCAACTCACGGTCTTCTCTCCTTAACCCTTTTTCACTACTTACTAGACCAATGACCATCTCTTCGGTTGGTCAAGATTAATTTGTAAGACTGATGATTCAGGTAGGTCGCAATATATTGGCGCAGTAAACAACGTGCCATTTAACAAGAATCCATTTTTTGCGAGTCAATTTCAAAATAATAGATGCTATGATAAATTGTCTTAGAAAAGATGTAGAAGCAGTAAAGATCAGCTAATTACACTTTGACGATTCGTACCGTAACAGAAGAGAAGGAATGCATCACAATTAAAGCCTAGCATCCACGAATGAACGCGGCTAAGACATATTCTCAATCTCATTGAGGTTACAAAGTGCACGAAAAGTGAATCAGAAAGACCAGACAAAAACCAAGATTGAAACAATAAAAGTTTTCAGAACAAACCTTATAATTATAACGTCGACAGAGCCCAGCTCACTTCCACGAATCATGGTCAATAATTTTAAGCTATTAGCAGCTAGAAAACTCGTCCAACTTCCAGACATTCTGCATAAACCGCTTCGATAAGCGGTGACACGAATCGCAACTGAGGGACAAGATTACCCCCCACCCTCCAGCCTCATAACATCGATATTGAGCAAGCTGGAAATGCTAGGGATTAGTTATAGAATAATCCTCGTGATTTCGAATGAACTGCCTTATATGAAGAATGGTTTCAAAGGTTCTATAGCCTTGAATGATTAATAATGTGTTAAACGGTCAATATAACTCACTTACCCAGGAAGCAAAAAAAAAAAAAAAAGTTGGAAGCCTAACAAGAAAAAAGGAACAAAGTCAATTTTGGCATTCGTGTGAGAACGAACGCAGTTGAGCAGCAATGATTTCAAACTGCAAAAGCAGGGCATTTTTCACCTAACAGGGAATGCGATCACCACAAAAACCACGAAATTTTGTCGACTGAAAGTAATGGGAACGCGAAAATTCTAGCAATCTATCATTATACAATACAGAGCATTATACTCTATATTATCTACATGTACAATAATTCCTTGCTACATGGTATAATAATGCAGCTCAATGTCAGTCCGCCCGATTGAGTAGCAATAGAAAGGAGAGGTTGGGCGAGCTCTGCGATAGTAGCAAACGGAGGTGAACGTACCACTGCAGGATGACGTGTCACGTCCGTACAACTGCATGCCACGACCTACAATTACGAGCAAACTGAATCTATATAAAACGAAAATTAAGTAAAGTAATATAGAAGAAAAGAAAACTACCAGAAACTGCTATTCATACAAAAAAATTGTCCGAGGATCGTGGAAGTGTTGGTCACATGGAGAGAGGGCGACGCAGCAGCTTGCAGTGAACGCTCGACTCGGTAGCGGTGAGCAACGCGCACAGCAACACGAGACGCGCAACACATGGCGGCGCTTGGTTCAGCACCAGCGTCACAAGCAACACCACACACAAACCTAACAAACAACATTGCTTCATGATGAAACTAGACAATATAATTATGTGGATTTTCGTTAGATCTTCATACTTGAATATTAATAATAGTTTAAATGCTTAAAACCAGTTTATGTGTGTCCAGTCACATTACGCGAACAAATGACCACCTTTATCAATGTGTTTTCGAATCTTAACTAATTCTTTATTTCAAACAAATATTCAAACCTGAAATTCATCGAACCAAAAGAAGTCACCCTTTTTAAATATGAATAGTAGGTAGTGATCATCACAAATTAAATCTCAAGGTTTTTATTGACCGCTATTGCAGTGCAGCACTGTCACACATCCAAAAGACAAACAATTTTCATGAAAATCCCTAACTACCATAAATCACAGTCTGGAGCAGGCACATTTGAAGGAAATTTACCTAGCATATCGGCGGTGCCGGGTGATCACTTGCAGCAGCCAGATGAGGACTCCTGCGTTCGGCTGCTGCCGACGTTAATGTTGCCAGTATTGCCACTGCCGCCAGCTCCAGACTCGTTCTTTGGCAGCTTTTGGGCTGGTAAAAGCAAATAAAAATAGATGTTATTTTTTATTATATACAATGACTCGTTATTTGGCAGCTTTGGGGTTGGTAAAAGCAAGTTAAAAATCAACTAATACGGACTAACAAAGTGTTACCGCTCCCAATGAGTGCTACCATCAGAAATAACACCATAATAAGAGCATTGAGATGTTATATTTAATGCAGTGTTTGATTTGAATAATAAACAATTATTATTAAATGCAGTTAGTGATTTTTAGTGTACTAGCTCAGTTAGTAAACAAGTCTTCATAGATTGATGAAAGGTAGCCAAAAAAATCTGAGAAGGTTATTAAATATTTTAAACTAAATTTATCTGACTTAGCTCACACTTTCAGTACTGTAAAGATTCTGATACTATGAATAACTCTCACCAATAGCTAAGAAAATATCGTTGACATTCATAGCAGTCTTTGCCGAAGTTTCCATAAAGAGCAAGGAGTTTTCTTCAGCATAGGTGTTGGCTTCTTCATACTCAACCATCCTCTTGTTGGCGAGGTCAGCCTTGTTACCAGCCAGAGCAATGACGATGTTCGGTGATGCCTGCCGCTGCAGCTCCTTCACCCACGTTTTGGCGCGACCAAAAGTGTCCTGCCATGATATCCATATGTCTATAATATTCAATATTCTGCATAACTTGACTACGCAGTGGCAATGTTGAAATAATAAATTTGTACCGAAATAATCATATTTCATACATAACAAAAATTTGAAATTTGTGTTGGATTGTAAATTTGCTCTAAAATGATATGAAACTTCAGGAACAACTAAAAAATAATTTAATATTTTATTTTTAAATGACTGATAAAAATACACCTGGGTATAAAAGTCTTTTCTCTATAGTATACATAATTTCTTGAAATTAAATTCACACACATCACAGTTGCATACATTTCAACACCAGAGTGCAAAATGACAGATAAACAGAGCATTACATTCTATCTTGAGAACATACTTGAATTACGGGACACCTTTGAGTTTCATAACAAATGGCAACATCTTACGGTGAACTGGGAAGTGGGAACTACCCATTAAATGAGTAAATAAATCACAAGCTCACCTGATTAGTGATGTCATAGACAACAATGGCAGCCTGGGCACCACGGTAGTACATGGGAGCTAGGCTGTGATATCGTTCCTGACCCGCAGTGTCCCAAATCTCAAACTTAACTGTTGTGTCTTCCAAGCATACTGTCTGTGTCAGGAAAGCAGCTGCAAGGAAAATACAAAAATTTATCAGATTATAATTCTTTTTTCTATAAAAAATACACGAGTCAATGAATTTTGTGTTTAGCACTTCATGATGAATAACTGGGTGTATATGACAGAAAAATCACTAACAAGTGAAACTACTTCATAATGTATTATACAGCTAATATTGAAATTAAAATACAGAGTTAATATTCTCACCTCCAATAGTGGATTCTTGATACTCATGGAACTGTCCTTTTACAAATCTGAGAACAAGAGAGGACTTGCCCACTGCACTCTCTCCAAGCAGAACAAGCTTGAACTGACATATTTTACCAGGCCCGCCAGCTGCTGCACCTCCTCCATTGGTCACACGCTGACCAGGTCTTGCAGCTGATGTTTCTTTAGACATTCTGTAATTTCAAATACAAAATGTATATATCTATCAATTTAAAATAATCATACAATAGTAATGACAGCTAATAATAAATATCTAATTTTGTTTTTATTCTTTGAATACACACAATAAACCACAGGGTGAATGGCACTTATTCTAGAATTATCTCATTGCAAAGTAAGAAATTTCTCAAGATTTGTGAGCATCTATACCAGCAGCCAACTGTCAATTGTTTCTTTCCTTTGAAACTTTGAGTTGTTCACTTATTTATAAAAATGTTCAATGATAGCAGTTGCTTGATATGAATTGTCTAGGTTCCATGCTGAGTGTATTATATCATAATAATAATAATAATATTGGTATTGGAACAGTTAGTAGGAATATTCTTTTACAATTTCAGTTATATTGAATATAATTTGTTAGTTGGATGCACGATGGCTCTTGAATATGCCTAATGCACATTGCAACATGACAATACGTTCCATGCAGCACTTAACATGCTCTTTACACAGCAACCTCCAAAATTCTTGCCTGCCTAACCTATGCCAACACTTATTTCAAAATCAACTGTCACTTTCAGAATTAGAATTCCCAACTTCCTCCCTAATGTTTAACCAATATATAATTGTACCCACAATTTTTGTGTAAATCAATCTTTTATTTTGACAACATTGAGTTGAAATTTTAGGGATGGAGGTTCCTTCAGTTCTGCCAGTGGCCAGGGGCATTATGCACATCACTTGCTAATAACCAGGAGAGGAGTTGGTTTGTCATATACAGTAGTAGTTTCAATGTTCTGTTAAAGGTTATTTAGGGAGACCAGGCTTTACATTTTAGGCTTTCTAGTTTCCTGCTTCACAAAAATTCTGTCAAAAAGTACATTGACATTGATTGCATGCCATCAACCTCCAAACTACAGGATGTGCCCAGACGCTGAAATTACCGTCAACAGGGGCTACTCGGGACGGGCGGGGCTACTCGGGACACTCCGACTGTCCCGAGTAGCAAAACTAATTGGAATATTGCAAAACTAAATATAGTGGCATAAACGTCAACATTTTTCCTATCTATGTAGTATAAAGGAAGTTCAAAAATACTACATTCACTAGCTTTGGAAAATTCCTGAAAAAATTGGTGTAAAACGATATTTTGAAAAGTTACTTCTGCTAAGGTCTGTAGTAAAAAAAATATTCACCCTATTAAAAAATTTTACTTACATAAAAGTTGCACCCAGGTGTCGGCTAGAAAACGTAATCGACAGATTTTACCTATCTCATTCCAAAAAAATGGCGGTTATTTCCGCATGGCGAGGCTACTTGGGACACCCCCCGGGGGCTATTCGGGACACCCCCAAAAGCACATTTACAGTAGAACCTCAGTTAGCAAAGGATCCAGTTAAGAAAAAAATTGATTAAAAACAAAGAATATTGATTACAGTTACCTCGCTGAGCAAAAAAAAGTTCACTTATCGAAAAATTTGTGCATCATCGGTCATCACAAAATTGTGCCAAGAATGTCATATTTAGAATTGTGCGCCAGGCATCATAGAATGAAAAGTAATTGACCTAAACTATGATTTATTTCTTCAAAACATATTATGGTTGTCACTAAAACATTCCTTTCAGTTTCAGGTATGTTTTTCACGATCTTTTTAGCACATTTTCTCATTTATGGAAAAAATGCACTATTGTGCTCGCCATGTCAGTCTGTCTGTCTGTCCGTCTGTGACCAAGTTTTTGTCGACGAGAAAATGCGCTTTCTGTCACTCACTGCAGTGAGAACTGAGTTATATTTTTTATAGTAAATTCACTTAACCCAATTAAAATGGTGTGAAATTACAAGCCGTCCTGTAAGCTTACAGATACAGAAAAAATGCTGTAAGGCTGCTGATATGAAGCTTGCAGTGGACAAGGTTGTTGTAAATGCTCAATGGCATGTTCATGGATACGGTAATATCGCATTTAATACAGTAATATCCCATCAATAATAAGGTACCATCAACTGGGGTGGCTTTGGCCGCCGGGTGGCTTTGGCCGCCAGGTGACTTCGGCCGCCGCATTTTTTATTTTGTTTTGCAAACAAATGCTGGGTCATAAATGATGGCCAAAGTCACTCAGGCGTTTATGACCTCGTTTATGACCCTGGCGTTTATGACCCCGGCGTTTACAACCCCGTTTTTGTTTGCAAAACAAAATAAAAAATGCAGCCAAAGTCACCCCAGTTGAGGGTAATTTGTGTTTATGGTAATATCATTTCAATAAAGGAAAAATGAGTAAAAATCACAGAAAATGTCATTTATTCTACCTCTACATCATCTACAATGAAAGAGGAGGACTTCAGAGTACTGTTAATAATAAATGAGTACACTCTGCATGCTTCAAATATTTTAAAATGAAGTTTTATTCCAAGTGTCCCGAGTAGCCCCGTCGAACGGGGCTACTCGGGACACACTTTCTTTTTTGCTTCTGGCACCTTACGAATAGCATATGGAATTTTTTTGATGATGCCATTCGATAGCCCTCACAAAGAGCTATAAAATGAGCCTAAACTTGTTTATGGAATGTTTCATCGTAAGAAGTTATTAACAGTTATTAACAAAAAAATGCTCAAAACTGTCCCGAGTAGCCCCCCCGGTTGACGGTATTTTCAGAGTAATTTTAAGCTAATATTTCAACATGTTACCCGCGTATTGGGCCATATGTGTTCCAACAGTAATATTCCACTGCTGCGTATTGGGACACCAGTGTACCAAAAGCAGTATTTTATGCCATTTTGACAAAACAAATATAACTTGAAATTTCGCACTTAAACTTTCTCTTTTAAAATATTAATGTTCACTCAAAAAGTGGATTATTAAGTAAAACAAATCAATAGACCACAATTTTATTCATAAATCTCCTTGAACAAACGATAAGTAACTAAAAATTCTGACTAATAATTCCCTTCTATTCCCATCTATTCCCTTCTGTTCCCATCTATTCCCTTCTATTCACATCTATTCCCATCTATTCCCTTCTGTTCCCTTATAATCCCTTCTGTTCCCTTATATTTCCTTCTATTCTATTATGGTACATATAAGGCTCAATAAATACTTGGTACACCGGTGGTACAATACACAAGAACAACATGTGGTTTTTATTTGCTTGCGTAATGTACCACATGCGTCCCAACAATTTTATTGCAGCTATGCAAAGCTATGATGCCACAGAGCAGCACACACCTCCTCCTGTCACTGCCAATGGTGCCAAACTGAAGCAGCAACCACTGAAAGACTTCCACGATAAGGGAATACTGGGGAAATCTGGATATGCAGGGAATGTGTTAAATTGTATCCACTACACCATTGATATGTACTACTGTCATTTCCAAAGTTCAATTTCAAGTGTTGAAAAACCTTCACCAGCTTGATACTGAAAATTGTATCTTCAAAATGTTGCAATCCATCAAAATGTCATTTTGTAACTTGCTTTTTGATCTCCCAGCACCACCAAGAAATTTTGTTTGACTCATTGAAAAAAAAATAAGAAGATTATTAATAAAAACCATGCTCTGGTCTTCAATCAAACTTGCATAAAAGAAAAGCTTCTGCCAAACTACACCAATCTTATTATATCTGCACAATATATTATGTAAAAGCATTGCCATCCATGTTTTAGAAATTGTAAACAGTTTCCCAAGTAAGATATCTGCTCAGCGCAATAAAGGTTGTGAGCTCACTAAAAAACCTGTGTATGTGGGCCTTGCATCCTCAGGCAGCAATTTTTCAAGTTCTGAACTCCTGTGGAAGTGATACATTATATTTCAAGAAAATTAGTAAATTCCATTATAAAATATAGATATTCCTCCCAAATCCACACTCATCTGACAGAGGGTAACTCCATGCAAGTATGAAAATTTATTACATCTGTGAAGGAAGTAAAATTTTCACTTGGGGTTGTAGGAAGGCATGGAATATATCTACCTTTTGAGCCACCACTAGAGCTTTCCATCATTTTTAGAGCCATGAGGTTCCTGCTTGACATATTACTTTCAATGTTATTGTTAACAAAATTGTACGATTAGGTGGCAAAATTATAAATTTTTTGAAATTTTGTCACTTTGAAGTCATAACATTTTCCAAATTCCAATACTGTTTGTGGGCATGTGACATTCCTAGATCATAGATTATAGTTCCAATATGTCTTATGTGCAGGATTTTAAATTTCATTTAATATGGCACCATGTTTGGTACTGTATACTCATATAGTTGTATTTATTCTTTGAATCAAGTCAGCCTGCATAACAAAATTTTTCAAAAATTTAATCAAAAAAGAAAAGACAAATTTTGGTTATACAAAATTTTATACATTATTGATAATCCAGCCAGCTTTCCAAACAAACATTACAAATGCAGTTTATTATAAGTTTACAATACTTAGTTTAAGGGGACCGGCTACCCTCCGGAAAAACTTCTACAGTTATTATCCGATTATCATGAAACTTCACATACATACGTAAAAGGTAAAAAGAAAAACATTTTGCTCCTATGTATTATTCAAAAAAATTTATAGAAAACGTGAAATTCATAGAAAACAGCTAAAAAGGGGTACTTCAGAAAATCTATCTCCTCCCACAAATATCATCCTACAACATCAAGACACATATCATTCGATTCGTAAAGACCATATCTATCGACTCTAACATCGCTTTTTTCATTTTCCACCTAGTTTTTTTATGACGTTTTTTCCCATTTTTTACATTTTTCACCCCTCCCCTCCCATTCTTCCCCATATAAAAAACGAACCAGACAAAAATTAAAAAAAGTGATGTTAGAGTCGATAGGTATGGTCTTTACGAATCGAATGGTATATGTCTCATTGCTGTAGCTTGAAAACTGTACGAGGAGATAGGTTTTCCGTGACAGTAGGTTGAACTTTTCAAACTTTTCAGGACGGCGCGACAAAGTCCCGTGCGCCTCGAAATAGGCACTCAATGTAGCATGGATACCAAACTACAGGCTTCTGTAGCTTAATCCACTCAAGGNAACGGTAAAGCAATGCGGATTGCGTAAGTTGAAAATTTTATGAAATGACATGTTTGCGAAGTGCAAACCGCGATTTTTTAATCGAACAAAAATTTATGACATTCGAGTCGCGAGATTTCATACCTACTGAAATTATATGATATTAGAGCCGCGATATTTCAGACAAAAATAGGACTTTTCCAGACTAGTTTGTAGGTAGTTATTATCAGGGGTGATGCAACCCTAAAAGTTTAGTTATAACCAGACAGTCAGACTTAAACTAGTAATGAATGATTTTCATGGATACCTATGCAGCAAGTAGAGGGCAGTATTTAGGTATTTGCTTAGTGGCTGCTTATACCTAGTTATGCGTCATTGACTATTTAACGCTAGTAATACCAATTACCAACTACTTGACCACTGGTACCTACTTACTTGCTAATAAAAGTTCATGATTGAGCTGTAAAATAAATAAAAAAGCCATTTAAGCTTGAAATTTTTTATTTGATGTTAACCAACAACATACCTGAAAATTTAATGATAATACAGGTCGTAAATCAAAGACAGCTGAGTTGAGCCGTCTGTTGTCAGTCTTCCTACCTACTTCCTGTACGGATTAAAACGGAGTATCAGTGCCTATTTAGTAAAATGTCAAAAAAATTTGATCACTACCGACTCTAAAAAATTACATTTAATTTATGTTTCAGCTTCACAGATAGTTGTAAGAATTATCTTAAGTTCCCTCAAAAACATTAGTTCGCATTCATTGAAACTACAGGAACGATATTCTCACTCCGAACAAAATATCAACAATGACGAACCACCCCTTCTGTTCAGATCTCACAGCATATGATTATTTTAATTGACATTAAACGATCAAATTTGTTTTTCAGATAATGAAAAAATTTCTTTTGGCGTAATGTTTTTCATAATTATCAATAAAGGTTCAAACGTGACGTTTTAAATACAAAAATATCTGCAACTTTTGCACTAGTTTATGTGTAACCTTACGCGAGCAATAGAGTCCAGTACTACAAAATTGTATCAATTGAAGTTGGAACTCAAACATCTGTGCTTGAACCCATTCCTGGTGAATAAAAATTTGTCAACGGCTATAATGCTTTTCTTTCATGTAGGTTAGACTCATTGATTGGTTTTAAAATGCCTTGGACATTGGACATTGACAGAATTTAGGTAGGACCTAATATTTAATTTATTTAAAACGGGAAGCTGAGCGAAAAATTTTTACCGTGCTGTTTATTGTCAAACTTGCACCCAATTCAACAGTTGTATGTTGGTAAAAAACTAAAATATCGTCAAACAAATTTCTTGTAAGTACAAAATTATATCCTCTATTAATCAGCCGTTTCTTAAAACATCATGTGCTACAAGCATAGTATAGCGGTGTCAGCGTTAACTAACCGTCAGACTTATCGCACATTTCTAATTTCGCATAATATTCAGTTTGTTGCTGTCTCAAACTTGCAACTATATGGTTTAATTTTTCTGCGATAAACTGCTCGGCTACTTTGCCGATTCGACCAGAACTATCGCAGATAGCTGGGATCGAACCCAGAACGCACTGCTCCAATTTTGAACCCAGAACGCACTGCTCCAATTTAGGTGCTCAGCAGAGCTGTAGAGGCCGGTCCACACGCTCAGTTTTACACAAAGATTTGTCTGCGCAGTTCTAATCGTTGCAGTTAAAACGTTGCGTGTGGACGGGAAAACTGCGCAGTTGCATCGAAATCTGAGCTACAGATCGTAGATTTCGATGAAATGCGCAGATAAGTCGGAACGTGTAGACGGTAGCACAGTTTTCCGATTCAATTTGTGCTCAGTTTCAATGATTCTGGCGACGATGGTGGACTTTCGGTAATGTTCTCGGGAATTTATTGCTCTTCTATACAAAATTTTTTCTTGCATTTGGCGAGCAAAATTTAAGGACTATAGTTACAGGGACAAAAAAGGTGGAAAGCTACGAGGGCTTAGAAGAAAAATTCAAAGAAGTCGATGAAAGCGCAAACAGAGAAACAGCAGTAAAATAAGTTGAGGAGCATTTACCGTAAATAATTGGGAATAAATAAAAAACTATCCCATCTGGACCTGAAGAAGAAGACATCTACAAACCATCTCTCTTGTATTTTGATTCCTCGTATTCCCTAAATGAACCAATCTCTTTTTTAACAAGGCACAATGCCAAAATTTATCAAAATACTGCCTTCTTCATGGCACGTCTCGGACAAATTTACGGCCGGACTCGCGGCCGGTCCCCCCAAATTCGGTGAGCATGGAATATCTCCCAAAGTAATGAACGTAGCTCGATAAAATTTGGTACACGTATTCATTAGGACCTAACGGTGATGTTTAGCACGTGACAATTTTTTTTCGATTTTGCCTTCGTTTGCGAGTTATACGACTTTATCTAATCTGAAAAAATTTCACGAGCTAAACATCGCCGTTGGGAGGTTAGGTTTCTATATTCAAAGTTTCGTTCAAATCTGTACAGTAGTTCTCACGTATCGTCATATGATATAATTCACGAATGAAGGTGAAATTCTAAAAATATTCACGAGCTAAACATCACCGGTAAATCCTAATGAATACGTGTGCCAAGTTTTATCAAGCTACGATAATTACTTTGGGAGATATTCCTTGCTCACGAATTTGGGGAGACCGGCCGCAAGTCCGGCCGTAAATTTATCCGAGACGTCTCCATGGCGAGATCGCGCGATACTGAGCAAACTACACAGATCAGTCGGCACCGCGTGGACGCTCTAAAAATTGCAACGATTTCATTCCGACTTAAAACTGCGCAGACAAATCGTAGTGTAAAACTGAGCGTGTGGACCGGCCTTAACCACCGGACCACAAAGCCAAATTTGAAGTCCCCACCTTGTTGGAGTACGGTTCAAAGTTACTTCTGCTTTTCATATCCGTTTAAAATTTTAAGATTGTGTTCGTATGTACTTTGTTTATGTCGATCCATTTAATGTCGGATGAAAGGAACTGCATTGCGTGAATATCACAAGGAAAGGCTAAACAACGCAGGCTATGATTTTTCACTCCGTTGTGCTTTAAGTGAAGATAATTCAAAAATTTGTTAGAGAGCCAATTCTGTTCTCAGCTTGTATTAGAGTGCTGAACATTTTTGTACAAGGTTTCGCATTAGTTTTAGTACTCAAATGAATTAATTTGGTCCGTATAATGACAATCGTGTTTAAGGGAATGCCATGAGCGTGAAACACACTTCAAAAATGAAAATAGTTCAAAAAATAAATAGGATAATTTTCAGAATTTCTGCCTATTCATGGCTGTAGTCAAATAGAATTCCTGGCAATCTGCTGTGTGCCTATTCTTCAAAGCACCGCATCTACTTCTCATCTAATGACACTCTCAAGAGGAAAAACAAACGTGTATTATAGGTAAAAAATATTTAACATTTTAAAAAGCTGTACAACAAACGCATCATCAACAGATGTATGAAAAGGAAGACTTAAAATCATAAAGGTCCATCTGAGAAAGATAACAACATGCCATCCTCTTCTCCATAATCAAGCTAGTAATTACTAATTAGTACCTTCAGCACGCGGTAAATTTAAGCAAAGATATCTAAAAATCGGGTATAACAAAATACAAGTGGAATGGCCAACCAATTCGAACAAAAACTATCAATAATATAAAATCTCATGAACTCAATAATATTATGGAACAAAAAATGTGGTGAGATTTACATCTTTTTCATTACCGAATCCCTCAGAGAGTGTAATTATCCGTGAAATTTACCTGCCATGTTTGATTACGAGTTTGATTTTGGGTTGTCATGAATAAAACAAAATATGGTTTAAACGCTTCATTTGTGAAAGAACTCTCTCTCAATGGCAGGAAGTAGAAATGAATTTAGATGAGGCAATAAGTATTAAATAACAAAGACTAAAAACAAATGCAGAGTTACCTCTTAGTGCCCAAGTGTTCACACTCAAATAAAACAATCAACAGACTTGACGAAGGAGTTAGTATCCAATGCCATTTCATAATCAACGTTGAACAGAAGTTGTTCATAATACTATAGCCCTGAAATAAATAGAGGCATGCCACATTCAATCTAAAGTTATCTGCTGAAGAAATAATTATGCAACAAAGAAAATAAAATCATAAGTTGTGAACTCAAGTCTCAATGGTAACACCCTAAATTGTAGCACAAAATGCATTGCAATGATAACGATGAAATATAATGGAATTGAAATGCGAGTTCTAACTTTTGTTAGGCATTCGTGCTTTATGAGGAACCAATAAAATTCGTTCGATTTACATGAATAGACAAAAAATCGAAATTCCAATGAAGAGTTTTCAATGGAATTTTATATGGGAGTAACTTCCTGTAGTGAAGTTGGAAATGCGAGATTCAAGTTATCTATAACAGCACGAAATAAATAAAATAAATAGTCGAGACACCATGTAATGGAATCATCATTAATTAAAAATGCGGTAACTATCTAGAACGCTATGAATTCTACTGCATATTTACATTTTCTTGTAAATTTTTTCTGGCTTCAAATGAGTGCAAGCCAGCTTACAATCTATCTTCCTGATTCAACACATAAATTAAATAAATAGCACATAACAAAGTTGATCCATCTAAAATCAGTAACAATAAATAAAAAATGGATAATAAGATTGGCAATAGAGGATGAAAAAGGAGGAAGACTCTTAGATGATTTTTAGGTCTAATATAAGTTGTTATCCAGCAGTTATTACCGAGGGGACAGTATCTCAATAGCTCCATTGATTAGGGTTATATTATAATATAAATAAATAAACGAAAAGTTAAAACAAAATTTCTGACAGGCAAGGATTGACCGGCTAGTAAAACAAGTGAAGGTTAACGCCATGCCATAGCCGGTAGGAATTGCCTGAGTTATTATTTTTTACCAAACTTTATCACTTCTTCTAACATGTTGCTAATATCAACAACTTGGTGCTAAAATACAATAATTTTATTGATCCATTCTCTGAATGCAGATATTCTGGTATAGACGCCGGGTTGGTTGGGTAGCGCACAGCCGATGCCCCAGGAGATAACGCCCGCTAGCTTCCAGGAGTCCTTGTGCTGGATCACAAGCGGTCCGCCTGAGTCGCCCTGCACAACAATCATCAAACATGTCAAGTGTGAACTTAAAAGTAGGGAAAATGTGTAACGAACCTACAACGGGACTATACAAATGCTAAATTGGGAACTTTTAGCTCTTAGGTTCCGGTATCCAATGCAGAAATGGTCAGTGAAGTGTAACATGTTGTAGTAAAATGACGCAAGTACAAGGTAGATTTTACTATATTTCACATCATCATTCAAATTATGTTAAGCAAATTTTTGCATGCAATTTGCTTCATAAAATTAAAGTTTACTGGCAGTCTGAGATTCTATTAAGAAAACTGAACCTCTTCCAGTGTTGGTGTAATTGCAAAATTGTTGGTGGTCAGCAGTTAGTTGAGGCTGCGTTGCTTGCCACCAATTAATTACAGCATAGAAAAAGATGAAAAACTGTCACAAAAACGTGTTACGAAATTTTTTTCTAATATGGAATTCAGAGGAAACGCTTGAATAGCTTGATGAACATGAGGATCTCATCATGAAAACAACTCATACATCAAAACGAAATCGTTTATGACATGAATTATGTCCCCCCCCACAAATTCTTCCTTCCTAAGCAGTTCTTAAAGTTGGACGAACCTCAGAGAAGAAGTACATCATTTGTAGCTCCTGGAGCATCGTTACGTCTGCTCTCTCTGTTCACACATACGATATTCTTACCTCACACGCATCCATTTTGCCTGTATCATATCCTGCGCACATCATAATGTCAGGCACGGAAACCATGGCGAACGACCGTAAGAACATTCTCGAACACTCCTGATTTTCTAGCACAGGAACTGCCACGGCTTGCAACTTTGCGTGAAGAGGTCCAGCTGCACAGGATCGCAACCGACGCCAATGGTGAATAATTGGCCACACAGAAGCCGTCCATTGCAAGGAATTGACCTACCCTGTCCAATCAATCAGTCGTTCCGTCTGTAATCCCAGTCATTTTCGTTCTTCCGCCATTGTGATGCGCACGTAAAGTCCCTGTGCGACGAATCCTTCGTCACCTGCTGTTTGTGATCAGTCCTTTGCTCTCAAAATAATTGGCTTCTCCTTGATTGTTTCGGAAAGAAACGAGGAGGAAGTATAGGGCGAAAAGAAGAGGGGAGACAGAGGGTGTAAGGAGGACAGAATAACAAGAGTACCGAGTGCGGAACTCACCTCGCATGAATCTCTTCTCCCGAGTTCGTATCCAGCACAAATGAAGATGTTTGGGATATCTTCGATATAGCCAGCATTCCTGTACATAACCTCGCACTCTGAGTTGGTAATCACGGGAACTGGGACCTTTTGCATCAATGACGGAAGCGGCCCGTCTGTCGAAACATAAAAATAGTCCACGTCCGATGAGCACAAAAAAAACATTCCATCACTGTTTCAAAGATCCACAAAATAGCAACGGATTAATGCAGACCCTCGCCTACAGTCACTCGACTTGATTTATTATGTTTTTTTCATACATTATTCAATTTTAAAGGCTTTCATTTGATGCAAACTTTTTGAGCAAAAATTCAGTTTGTAATTAAATTTTCATCAATGACTAAGCGGAACGTAATCAGATAATTGACAATTATATTATTAAAATATACATGCATGTATATTGAACTACTATGTAGAAATTCAGGCCAGAAAATTGAACTACTATGTCAGAAATTTTGTACAATGTATATTTTTTTCGAATGTTTTAATTCGCCTATTATTTAATCTCTAATATCCCATGGAAAAACTACTAAAAAGTGTGGCGTGACAACCTGGATAATTTTCTGTACACTTGTTGCACACCAGGGAGGCAATTTGAGACTCGAGATAAACGAAGCAACAAGCAAGAGTGTTGAATGCAAGGAAAAAAGCACCATCACCCTAGGCAAATTAGAATAATTTTAATGTAAGCGAACATTTAAAAATCAAAGCTGATGAAATGTCACGATAAAGAATTGCAAAACCCCATCTCAAAAATTATACCGGTAAAAATTTACAATTATAAATTCCGAAGAATCAATCATGCGGGGTTATGTTGATTATAAAAAAAAGCTATTCAAGAAACGGAATTCTATTCATATTAATAGAGCTGCAACTTTATGAACTAAAAGAGCAAAATAAGAGGGACAGCAAAGTGAAGCACCAGCAATGGAAAACTCACGTTATAAAAATGTCAGTCAGTCTAAAGCAAAAAATTAGCGAATTTTGTAGACCACAGTATATAAAACAATATTTCAGAGAGAGAATTCAGTCGATATTCGAAATTCAATCATAGTGCGGCTATTTTTTTTGTCCCACAAAAGCACGAAATACAAACAAAATCGTCATCGTAATTTTGAATTATAAATCATTTCAATCAATTGATTAAATGCTTATGTCTTTCAGAAAAATTATTTGTACATTTCCACATGATCATTATACACTCAAAAGGAACCTGGAAACCGATTTCTTTGTGAAATTTTTTAACATCCACTTACATATATTTAGTTTTGTACAAGTTTTAAATTTACAATAATTGCCTCAACAAGCATGCGAAAAATATGTACATCATTTCTGAAACAAAACTAAAGTCAACTTGCTTTTTAATCGTTGCACTTTTCACTTAAACTATACATTGTAAATTAACCCGTACCACGTAATGAATTTAAATTTTTGGAGCACCGTCTCCGCACCAGAGTTCTTATTTTCAGAACTAAAAGTTATAAGCTCATCAAGTTTGAGTTTTGTGTCGAAGTATTCATAGTTAAAATATTAGTTAGTTATGCTCGATTGGCATCCGAAAAATAATTGGGTAAGAATGTTTTTAAAGAGTTTGTGCGTCAATACCCGCAGCTTCTGATTTATTCATTAAAAAACAAGCTGAATCAGTTGAATGTAGATGAGGATTTGGAAGCAGAATAATATTTTTTCAACGTCGGGTTCGAGGAGCTCTTACCTTCATAGAGGCGTCCCCAGCCTGACACGAAGCCAGTGTCGCCAATGAAGTCGTAGTCGTCGTCAGGGATGCAGATCGGAATTATGTTCGGCTGGAAGCTCACAGGCTCATTAAATCTGTCAAAAATACTCAGTTTTAATATGGAATAATAATTGAATTATATAACACTTTCCATTAATATTATTGAATGTGTCATTTGTTTCTTAACTTGTTACTCTACGTTGCTCTTGCAACATTAGGGAAATCGACGATTCCGGAGACATAAAATAAAAATAAAAAACATAAAATAACACCCATTTACAGAAGAAAAAAATAATATATAACTGTGTATATATTTACTATTAATTGAATACCTTAAGCTCTTTACAGCAAAAATTTTACTCCGTGATCAACAAAATTTGCAAAAATTAATCGTTCAATTAGAACCATTCCGGCATGAAATTATCATGCCTCTAATGCAGACTTGTTAGAGGGACGAAAAACAAAAAATAAATATTTCAAAATAATGAAATAAAGAAATAATAATGTTTAAACTAAAAGAAATTCAACTCTCACCTGAGTAGAGCCAAGTCGTATTCGAACGTCCTGGGATCGAATTGTGGATGTGTGGCTATGATTTGGACTTTGCGCTCGACGTGACCGTAGGGCTCGTCCGCGCGCTCCAGGTCGAACTCGCCCAGTCGCAGGAGCAGCTGATCAGGCTGAACGCTGATGCAAGAAATACTAGTTAGAAATTAATAAAATAGTAAATTATTCTACCTCTTTAATAATGAAATAAAAATGCCCTCGAGGGAAAAATACAAATTTCCATGAGCCCACAAATTATTAAAACTCATAATTGATCATTTGTTAGTGAGACGTTATTAATTATATATTTATTTCTCAATGGACTTGTTTTTTCTCTTCATTGCAAAAACAAGCAAGTATTAATATAAATAAATAAAAATAAGAAAAAAACGATGAGTATGAACAAAATCATTCAGTGATAATGCAAGAGGTTCAAAGAGTGATAATGCTCTTGTTAAAAGCTCACTTCTCGACACAGTGCGCTGCAGTGATGGCCCAGTTTTCGTTGACGAGCGCAGCGCCGCATTTGTGCAAGTACGTGACGGAACGCCACTGACGCAGCGACACTTGCCACGGCCACTCACCGAAGCTGGCCTGAGATCCGCCTACGATTCGCCGACTGGGGTACACTGGCTGCCCACAAACTGAAACAAACGAACATGATGCATTGCTATTGCAGAAGTTCCTATATAAACATGAAAGCAGATGCAATAAATGAACTCTATTGGATAATTAGAAGGTATGACATCAAGTATCGAGATAAGGCTTAGCTCATTGCTTGCTGTGTGTGTACCATCCGTCAATTTCAAAAGTAATGCAGCGTACTCACTTTCTCTAAATGACGAAGTGTTCAACCGATGCAATAATTGGTCTTCTTGAGTTTCGAACGAGGGTTTTTGCTGAGTTCTATTCGGGAGCTGAGCATCAATTCCAACAACCACAGTTCCAGTTTCATCAGGATCTGAAACTTCGGAACCAGTTGATTGTACGTCGCTAGGTTCCCCCTCAACGGGGCTGGATTCAGTCGTGGGCGTTTCGCCGCTGCTGGGTACCGCAGGCACAAAGTCTACAACAGTCGCTACTTCTGGTATAGTTGTGGTTGAATCATTTCCAGAAGTTTCATCTTGAGTCACGCTACTCTCAGAAGCCTCGTCATTACTTTCTATAGGAGAATCAATTGAAATAGTTTCATTCGTAAGACCGATAGACGCAGGCACTATTTGTATTCCAGGAACAATAGTATTGTCAATAGATGAAGAAGAATCTGTACTTGTATCTCCTGTTAAACTTTCACTTGGTGATGCTTCACTCGCATTGATTAGAGCAATGTCATCTGGCGTTTCTGTTCCACTTTCTGGCTCAGACGTAACTGATATTACCATTTGATCAGTTTCGCTAGCCGTGTCCTCAGGAACACTACTACTAGGAACATTTGTATCTATACCAGCAGATCCACCAGCAACACTGTCAGCTTCATCATCGACTCCGGCAATTACTTCACTAGCACCAGCTTCCTTATCACCAACACTTGGGACTCCATCACTGATGCTTGCACTTTCTTTATCGTCTCCAGTAGTTCCACCTTCAATGGCATCGGCTGGAGCAACGGCGCTGGAAATAGAATTTTCACCGACATTAATTTCATTTTCTGCCACAATTTGGCTCCCGGCACTTTCTGGAACTGAAGTGGCAGAACCAGCACCCACAGTATGGTTCTTAGAGGATGAATCATCACTATCGCTTTGTGATCCAGAGTCAGACCCACTTTGGGTGAAACCTGTCTCTGTTACAAACGTACTTTCCGTCTGTTGTGATTCGGTTGTAGTATCTTGTACGTCAGTCTCGTCAGTAGATTGAGCGATTTCATCAACTTCAGAAGTTTGTGGTTTGCTAAGTTCTGTCTCTGAAGTTTGCAATTTCGATCCATTTTCGTCAACGGGCTTGGAAGAACTGACTGGAGAAGAGCCATCAATTGAAACTGACGTTTCAGTGCTAATTTCTAAATATAATGTAGAATCAGTTCCTGTAATGCTAGATTCAGTAACTTCTGGTGAACTCACTTCCTCCTTGTCACTTGAAGATGGAAAGCCGCTGTCGGAGGGAGCCTCGGTAACTTGAGTTCCTGGGACGACAGATGTCAATGAGTTTCCATCACTGCTTTCCTCAGCCGGCGTAAACGAAGACTCCTCATTTTCTGGAATAGTTAGTTCGTGGGTTGATTGTGACGCCTCAACAGGAGCTTCAGTCGCTAATGTTTCATCCTCAAATTCAACAGAAGTTACATTTGTAACTCCAACTGAAGTTAGTTGGCCATCAGAGTCTTGACTTGGGCGACTTGTGACTTCGGTGACTTTATTTTGATCATCCGCGCCATGTGACACCTCATGGCTAGTAATTATCTGTTCACCTGCAGTGGAAACTTTTTCCTTGTCATCTGCAGCACCGTCTTTCTCTTGATTCACCAGAGAATCTTGTTCTAGATTGCCGACAATCACATTGGCATTCTCCTGGTCATTATCAGATGACGCTTCAGTTTGCTCAGTCACAGCTGGGGTTTGAGCAGCACCAAAAGCTTCGGTCACGGTGCTTTGAGCTTCTCCCGACGTCAAATAAGTTGGATCTTTTTCAGTGAAACTCTGCGTGTCAGCAACCGTTGCGGAAGTTTGATCGTTTGTAGATACGTTTGTGCCATTTAAATAATTTTCTTCAGCAGTTGTTACGTGATTAATTTCATCCTCTTTGACCATTTGCTGTTCTATGGCTTCCATGTCTAATTTCGAAGGGCTCTGGGGGTGCGTTCCCGTTTCTTGGGCTTCTGAAGGAAATACTGGAAGGGCTGCTTGACCAACACCTAATGCTTCCTCGACATCACTTGTATCTGATATAACTGGAGAAAGTGAGCTGGTCTCGGGAATATTTGAACCGATGTCAATTTGACCACTAACCATTCCCAGCAAATTACTTCCGGTAACAGATTGTGGAGGTACAGTAACATCGGTGTCAGTGGTCTCCGGTTCACTGGTCGTCGCCAAAACAATGATGTCAGTTTTCATCGGCGTGTGCACAGGTCTCTGAGCGCCTGGTTTCAATTTGCAACATGAACCGAAGTAAAACCTGTTAGACAAGCATAACGTTAGTTATCTAATTTTATGAAATTTGTTTCTTTTAAAACAAAATTGGAATCAGTTTTTACAGAAAACTAGTGTTAAAATGAAAATACAGCATCAGTCACAGGAAAGAACTCTTATACAAATTTTTAAGTTCAAATCAAGCTTATAGTGCGTTCCATACACAGGATTATACAATTTTCTTTATTAGTTTCGGATTTTGGAATTTTACCTTTCAATGCAAGTGCCTAGATGAGTTCCGTTAGCCTTCATGCAGTCCCAAGCAAACATGCACACGCCGGTGTCTCCTTTTTTAGTTGCGCAAGGCAGAGGCTGAATGTTGCGACCATATCCTGCAACAGACGAAAATAGTTAGAGAACACAACAGCAATAGAACATTTGTATGATCGGGTTGTAAACCAGGAAGTAACTTGTATTGAATCCGGATCTCCATCATCATAGAATAATAAAAACTAAATAATAAACTAAAAATAATAATATGACTATTTAATACTATTTAATAAAAGTCAAAGATCACAAAAATCTATAAAACAATTAATATTGTTAAGAAATTCTTGTTAATTACAGGCATGAACCCTGTTATTATAGTTAAAGAAATTATCGAATTGAACGCCGCTCTTAAGCTCATGGAGTGGTGGAGATGTACAATAATCTCATTTATCTGGTACCTTTTCTCGCGTGGTTGACGTAGTACGAGAATGGGTGAACAGCCTCCAGCAGCGGCAGACACATCAGTGCAGCTACCAGGAGCCAAACGATGTTCCTGCAACTGTGGTCAGTGTCCGGGCGAGGGCCGTTGCTCATCTTCCAAGAACTCATTTTGTGCTCAGAAATGTTACGTGTCGTAGCCGGTGAAAGACGAGATCTTATTTTATTCGGAAATACTATCGAACTCTTTGAATAAGCCTGAAAGCTATGTTTGCAGAATGACCCGATATAAAATATTATGGCCTGTCAGCAACGGAGAGAATGGCACGGTTTTGAGCTTGTTTGTGTAGATTTAAATGAAAATATCACTTCATTATTTAGTTATGTGTCGATCAAGGGATTTAGATGAAACAACTGGGTTCACTTGGAGACAGTCGGCAGATTTTTCTTCCGCGACTTTCCGTATCTTCATCTCATGGTTACTTTTGCACTTCTGAAAAAAAGTAGATCACAGAATTAGAGTACTATATCAACTGAAACAAGCTATACACACTATGACTTGCTTAAAATATGAGTATTGATAAGCACTAAAAGTACTCTGCCGGATTCTAACTTAATTTTATAAATTCAATCCTGCAGACAATGATCATTCCTTGTAGGTATTGATGGAGGACAGGTTTCATTTCGAAAGTAGAAAATATTCGTTCAAAGGAAGGCTTCTTTCAATTTAAAACAGGTTTATGAATTAAAGTATATCATCCCTTTATGTTTAAATAATTCAGCCTGCAACATTTCTCGTGTATATAATGGGACAACAAGTTTTAACGCTTTAACTAGCTACCTCGATATTAGTGGTGACGCAGAATTGAGTAAATTGACTAATATCAAATAGTGCAAATAGTTTAACGGAAAGAAATTCGAGGCGCTGATGGAGCGCAAAGCGTGCGACGTTCTGACCATCACTGAAGATTAGCAGTGACCCATATAACACGCCAGGCCGCCTGCACCATGTGATGCAAAAGAAAGTCTCGCGACGCGCTCACTGGTCTGACCTCCCAAATAACTTTAACGTCCTATATAGTTATAAAGACACACTTGGTTTCATAAATTGCATAGTAAAATTAGCCATAAAATGTGAATCAACAACCAAATGCACATCTATAAATTGGGTCCCCGATAGGATCGTGTCCTAAGCTAGCGTAATTCAATTTATTACTGGAACCACTTTCCTAAACTTTGCTTAGCTTTTACGGTCAAAATTGAATGAGCGTGCACAAATTGGAGCCGGGGGGTTCCAATACGATTTCATGTGTCATCTTCGTGATCATGGTATTATAAATAGCAAGTAAATTGGAAATGATTAGAAAAATAATCATCGTCAGCCCCTAAGTGATTTGGGCAAGATAAGATATAACTTAGTTCCTCCAACACTGCGGTCAACATTCCGCGGAATATTGACCCCGGTGCGGCAGGACTTGATGGTACCGAAGCTTTCACTGCCTCATGACCGAAGTAACTTCTGCAAGCTTCCTTGTATGAAGTTGGGGCTCAAGCTAGGAGCGTTGAGGTCAGTGGGACGTGTCTCCCCCGAATGTGGTATCCGGTACACGACGCTCAACCCCGTAGCTCGCCGCGCCGTCCGCAGTCCCGGCTAAAAATGTGTGTCATGCAGGGTTAAAGCTTCGGCCCGTGGCTCCACAGTCGTGACTCATTGTAGACTCTTACTTCTGTCTAGCCGATGAGGTATGAGTTTCGCCGAGAGAAGAAAAGGTGCAATCATTTTTTCCACTCAGCATTTTAAGTCTTATGAGTTGTTTCCTACCGATGCACAGCAGTTGTAGAGCTTTGGCATCCGGCGAGCGTTTGAAACAACTCGGAACAGGGGGAAAATTTCTTAATTAATTAAATTTAAGCGAAAATTCCGTCCTTAAGTCGAAAACGAGGTGGAAAATCTCCGTAAGTGATGACCTCATTTTTCCCTAATCCTGGGTCGACCTCAATTAAGCCCTGCCTCAATTAAGCGACGAAATGTTATAATGTAAACTTTGTTTTATGAACTTAACGAGTGCCATAGAAGTAAAACAAAATATTTCTTAAATTGTATTAATATTGATCGAAAGTTCGTAATCTTGGAAAACCAATGCTTCCTTCTGTAGCTATGCATATAAATCTAAATTCCTTGTGTTCTTAATATGCACAATCAAGTGCGTACGTAATTCAAGAGCATTATCCACGATTTTTTCAATAAAGTTTCAAAACTCGGTCAACCAGTGGAAAAAAAAGCATGTAAACCGCAAGCGGTAATCAAAAGGCAAATTATCAGCAACGGTTTCATCAACACTCGCGACTATAACTCATCACGGTCAACGGTTCATCTGCAACCGCAGTAATTGAGGCTCGCCTAGAAAACAAACTATTACACACTCAATTTCTAACAATAAGTCCCCGATATATGAAGTAAGACATATTATGCTGATATAAACTTTAGAATAAAACGAATGAAATCATAACTTTTATGCAATTAGGGCGATCGAAGTTGGAGTTATAAAGTTGTTGCATTTTCTGTATCATTGCCCCGACGTTGGGAACTCATGGCAAGCAGAAACCGCTGAGCTGACCTGCAGCGCGGCAGCGATGTAACGGAGCTCTGGCACCTGCCACCAGCACTTAGTTTGTTCATCATTAAGCCTACACTCGAAGCACATTCATCCGGTGAAGTGGGCAATGCACCGTAGTGAAGCTCAACATATTTATTACTGAAACATTGGGACGGTGTACATGAGATATGAATTTTACTTAGGAAAAAAATCGTCAGTGTCACGTACAGTGCGGTAAATTTCAGTTTATTTCACTCACCAAAAAATGCGAATCAATGCTACAGAACCATGCAAACGGTGGTCTACATTATTGATTTGCCAGCCCAAAATTACGACTAAATCTAGCCCGACCCAAATTCCCCAGCAAGAAATCCACCATTAGAAAAACGCTTGTCACTTGTAAAGTTCGATCATGAAGCAATATTCCATAACTATTGCTGATGAATTTAAAGCATAATTCAGTTGCTTAAAATTCATCTCAGAAACAAATAATATTATTAATTCGAGCAGAGAAAGTTGAGGAGCCTGCTACACGTACGGCGCATTGCAAGGCCGCATGATGGAGTCAGGCAAGTGTAACGGTCTCGACTACATGACAACACTCTTTCCTGAGGCGGGCAATTATTCCTTCCCGGATTAACAGTTCCACTCATGCATTCCTACCGATGCCTTGAAGAATAGTAGAAACGTTGAACAGAATTATATAAACACATAGAAAGCTTGGCGTTTCATTCGATTTGATTACGAAATTCCAGTGCATCATCTAACTGAATAAAGTTTATTACCTTCCGAACTCAAATTTAACGCAAAGATTGTTCAAACTAACAGCACTGCCCTCAGAATCGTCTGCATGATCAATAAAAATGTTTACACCAACTGAAAAATTCATCAAGTTTGCGTATATACACACACTCAGTGCACAATGATAGCAAGGCCACTTATGTGACTCAGTGTCACATAATTTAAATCAAACTTTAGAAACTAAGTGGTATCCAACCCTCAGCTGCTGAGCATTATTCGTACTAGAGACATTTCACTCTCTGAATAAATACAATAGAAGATATGGTAATTGCATATATTTAGGATTCGGGTAGTCGTTTCATGTAAATTCCTCACCAAGTGAATGCTTGAGTGAAAGTGAGCCTTCAAGTCGGGAAATCGTTAATGATTCATTATAGATTATGAGGTTTTCTCATAATTTTTGAAACAATTCGAAAATATTGTACTTGTTGATAATTTAATTTCACTGCTAGTGAAGATAAACCTCTTCCAGATCTAGTGGGAGTATTGCTGTACATTGCCTAATGTAGCGCGCATATACATTAACATTTCTCTCCTCCTCCGCGTCTTGTATAGCAGGATCCGTGCTCTGCAATAGCTGGAATGAGAGAAAGCGGACGACACAACGTACGGCGTCATCACTGAACTCTACCTCGGAGACGGTTCAGCTATGAGAATAAAACACAACCGAGTATTAAATTTTGTAGAGCGTAGTCAATTATTAAAAAAAATACTACGTATAATTTAAATAGAAAATACAAGCAATATAGGAGTTTTTTCCTTTTTTCTATATCTCTGTGCTTGTTTCTCCAAACGATGAATGCATGACCGAAATAGGCAACACAACTCTTGCAGCACACAAATGATTGTATCAAATGTAAGCCTCTTTTAATCGAATTAAGTAAACAGAATATATCAACAGTAAAATGTATAAGTTAGTAAAGAAACACCGAGGAACATTTTAGGGCACCAACGATACACACGAAGCAACGTTCCACAGAAACGCCTTCACAGGTCCAAAATTTAATTGAATTAAAGAGTTTGAGTAGACAAAATAGTCTCATATCAGTGTATATGTTGCACCCATGAGGAGGTTGTGTCACAAAGTGGCACAAGATGCCGCCATGTTGCAGGTGCCCCGGGGCATGCGTTGGACCCGCTGCGCCACATCCCCTTGTCCCTGTGACCCAAATTCTGCCACTGCCACTCACAGCGCCCAGCGCTGGACCGTGCAACACAGCTACACGATTGCCGTTTGGTCTCAGCTGCCGCGTTGCTTACATAAAAAAGTTACTATTTTACATTAAAAAGTGACCGTAATGCAATGACCTGGAATGACTTGGTCTCAGCTGCCGCGTTGTTTACATCAAAGAAGTTGTTATTTTACATTAAAAAGTCACTGTAATGCAATGACCTGGAATGACTTGGTCTCAGCTGCCGCGTTGCTTACATAAAAAAAGTTACTATTTTACATTAAAAAGTGACCGTAATGCAATGACTTGTTCTCAGTTGCCGCGTTGCTTACATAAAAATGTTACTATTTTACATTAAACACAGTCACTGTGATGCGATGACTTGCAATGACTTGGTCTTAGCTACCTCGATCCTTATATCAGAAGAGTCACCAATTGTACAATCAAGAGTCGCTGTTATGGAACAACTGTTCTACGTTTTATACTGTCACTACGGCGAAAATTTTTCGCTCCACTGCCGTATCTTATAAAATAGTTTGATTTAATTAATGATTCTTTCACGTTATTTACGGACGTGATAGATCAAATACTCGTGCATATTGTAGCGATTAATAAATCATAAGATAATTTTAAACTAACAATAAGTCTCCAAAATTTGAAAGCAATCTGCAATTCATATCAATCACAGCAGCCCTTCTAGAACTAAAAACTCGTGTAATACATGAAAAAATTTGTAATGAACATGGAAATGTGTCCCAGCATGAAAAAATAAATCACACTTTCTCAAAATCCCACCCTCACCACTATATAACATCATAAATGTCCATGGCTGAACATATATTGTCCGTCAGTATTGCATTTCTCTACTCCATGATCGTTTTACCGTGACAAATGAACTAAATCACCACTCCAGGCAGTCAAAG